TCCAGTGTCCTTTAATAGTCTCTGAAGCACTCCATACATGGGAAGAAGAATGTGTGACAATTATATCACCCAAAGAGATTGTACACCAGCGGTTATTGTGTGAGAACTGTATTCATTGATGTCTGTGGAATTTTTTTTTAAAAAACTTTCTACTGTTACATTGTTACCTTAATTCTTCTGATTTTTCAAGGTTATTTTGCTACCTCTCCAATACTCGTGCTCAGTGCTTATTTCTTCTTGTGTGATATGATATCTATGGATCATTCTGTTCGCATGAGTTAAAATTCAGTGTTATGCAACAGCTCTGTAGTACTCTCATGCTTTTGCTGTCAAGGAGACACTCCCTGATGCAATTGGATAGTAACAACTGTAGTTTTGGGGATGAAAAAAAAATGCGATTAGAGAGAAGGACAATTCCTTAGCCTGTTTTCCTACAAAGTAAACAGGTCAGATGTATGTATATCTATCGGCCCTTCTCCCTCGATGCTTTTTGAATCCATTGATTGGTATTAATTAATCAATTAATTTGACAGTGGGCAGCTGCCTCTTGCACACCATTGGCAGACTTAGCAAAGAGGGGCTGGAGCAATGCAGGAGGATGAGGATACTGAAGTGTATGGGAAAATAGGATGCAGCACTTAGGAGGTACTGGGAAATATTTCAGTGGGAGTGTTTAATAAATTGAAGGAATTGCAAGACAGGAGGAACTGAGGATGGAACAGAATGGAAATCACAGAAAACCAGATTCTGTAGATGTACTATTCTTCTTTTAGTCGTGATATCAATTAAACCAAAACAGACTTTTATATAGACAGCTGTCACTGATTCCTTTTGCTTGAAAAAAGGGATCCACTGCTACACTGTCTTCCAAGACAGTGTTATCATAGTCGTTTGCTCAGCACAGCCGGTGAAACTGATGTGGGACACTGGGAATGGGACAGTGAGCCTGCCAAACATTATAATTTCAAGTATTAATGTCTGTGCCAAGATTGCTCAAAAAAATTCAGTTGTTAACCTTATCGGTGCTGAGCTGGTCCCGGCATTCACAGGCAGTGTTTGCCACTTCTCCTTGCCAAAATTAGCTTGTATGAGTGCTGTAATATTTGTTGTATTTGTGTGTAAGTTCAGGCAACTTCCCTTTTAGATTGGTTTACAGATGTGGTTGGAAAGCACTTATATTGTTTCAGATACACTGACTTGCTTCCCATTAGCAGCCTGGTGTGTGAATAATGGTCATAATAACCATAATAATACTTCGCAAATTGAGTGTTGTTTTTCCTTGCAAAAGATCTTTTCTTTGAGATATAGTTTCACTTCTACCCAGACCATTCTTGTAATATCGTTTTTTTGCCTTCTCCCTCATATGTTTCATGTATACAAAATTCACATTGTGGGAAGACTTAAGTCTTAGATTTCCACTGTTAATGAACATAACTGTTTCAAACTATTTCATGTGTATAAACATGTGCGGTTCTGTGCTGATAAACATCAGTAAATATTTAGGAGCATTAAAAGGTTATAGTCAAATGAATAGTGTGAGCCGAAGCTGAATCCCATTCAGCCGGGTAAGGCAAATCTATAAGGTCGAGTTATGAACCATTATTTCCTTAGTATTCCTTATTTGTACTGCACAATTACATGGATAGGCCTCGAGAATGATTTATACTTTACATGGATCTGTCTTCTTTTGTTCATAGATTTTAAATATCTTTTGTGAATTTTGATTTAATTTTTTTTGTTAAATCATTGACCTTTTTTATTAGTTCTGATATGTCACTATATCTTATTTATACCCCAAAGAGTTGAATGCAAACATTCTTGATATCTAGCTGTCATTTTGCTGTCATCCTGAGTTACTGTTGGATATTTTAATAATTGATTTCCATATAGAAAATGTTTCATAAAGTTTTAATTGATGATATTTGGAAAAAACTTAGATTGTGCCATCCCTCACATCTTCTCCTAGCCATCACTTTCCCATCTCCTTTCATTTCTGCCATTCCAATAGTTGTGTTCTGTGAGCACCTCCATGGTTTGGGAACTCCTTGTGCAGGAGATATTCCTGCCAGTGTGAGAAGTGTGGGACACTTCTGGCTGTGGTCTCTGGGATTTGGGAGCAGGGACAGGTGCTGTCATACTGCCTCTGTCACTTTACTACACATGACCTTGGTTCAAATTACCTTGCTGGCTGACTACCTAGAAAGGATATTGCCTTCCTGTTTATACAGTACTTTGAACACGAACAGAGCTACAAACACTGAATCATTGTAGGAAAATGTGAATGCTGGGTTTGCCTAATGGCAGTGCTAACCCAGTGCTATAACCTCAGAGTGTTTTGCACCCACTGGCTTGCACAGGGCGTGCTCTTCCAGTGAGCATTCCCACCAGCTCACAGAGCTTTCCTCTGTGTCCCTGTATTTGTCAAGATGAGACATAACTGAACCTGCTTTGCCTATATGCCAAAGAAATAATGGAATTTTTAAAAATTGTGAGAGAGGTGCACGATCTGCTATACTTTCTGTTTGTGTAGATTTTACTAATTTTAAATATTATTCATGTGCCTGAGGAGAGAAAGGGCATGGGAGAAGAATGGGAATATACAGCAGCAGCTGAAGTTTTGAGTTTCTACACCAAGTAGGAGGAACTGAGCATTGTGCTGGGAGCCTGCATGCAGGCAACAACCCTGCAAAGATGTAACCACATACTCAAGTTCAGTAGACGTGTTCACAGCCTTTACACAGTGTATAAAATTAATAATATTTAAATATTGTCAGAATGAGTGTTTTAGGAGCATGGAAAAGAGTGACTGATTAGGTTTGCTCTGTGTGAAGTATTTTCTCCAATTTTAATAGATTATATTCTTCATGAAAAAGACCTGTGTTCTTGTCCTTATTACTCTTTGAAAGATGTCTTTAAAAACTTACAGCAGCATGAACATAATCCTGTTAACAGGAAGTACATATTTATTTGGTAGCTTGTATTAAATCTTATTTTCTCAAATTTCTTACCAGTTGCCAGAGCTAATTTACAGGGGGAGAGATATATTATAAGGATATATTTTGGTCATGGGATCTCCTTCTTTTAATGCTGACCAAATGTCCTGTGCCTCTCTTTACAGCTTCCAGCTACAGTTTTATTCTGAGCATTAGTGAAGAGGAAGCCAGGGTGAAGGCTCTGAACGAGTACCTGAGCACTCGTAGTTATATCCAGGGGTTCACATTTTCACATGCAGATGTGGAGGTGTTCAGAAAGTTTTCGGGGCCACCTGTGGACCAGTATATCCATGTTGTCCGGTGGTACAGACACATAGAAGCAATCTATGATGGCAGCAGTGAAAAAAATGAGCCTTGTAAACTTCAAACAAGTGAGTAATATAAAACTGGTGGGCAGGTTGTAGACTAGCTGACATTGTATTGGTTGTTATTGCTGAGAATTCCAAAAAGTTCCCTTTCATACTTTCTTGCACACCTTAAAATTTACAGTATCAATTTGTATTCGAAGTCATAACATTATTGTTGCATACACTTACTGTGTAATTGAGAGATTCTGACCTATTTAGATGTAAAAGCTGTTATCAAATTTTTTATGTGAAAATTCCTCAGTGTGAATTTGATTATGTATATTTTCTTTAAAAAGCTGGCTATCTTCTGGTTGGTAAAAGAATGTGTGGGTTTGGGCTTTTTCCTGGAAACACCAAGATTTACCCAGTCTACTTTTCTCCTTGCAAGATTAACCAGATAGTTGTTGTGTAATATACAGATCTATAACAAAATAAACGAAATACTACCTCTTATGATTGTTATTAATACTGAATTTCGCAAAGAATGTCTGGTGTTCTTTTTTAACCCTGGTAATTTAGGCATGCTGACGATTTGAGGAAGTATTAACTGGTTAATCTAGACCATTGTGTAAGCATGGGCAGGCATTTTTGGGAGCTGCATCACTCTCCTGAGTTGTTTCCCAATGAGCTAGTCTAATTTAATTGCTTTATAGTGAGATCCTTGCTCAAGGAGTCATGAAGTAAAGAAAAATAACAATGCAGAGCTGTTGTATAGTGCTTGCAATACCTGCAAATGAATGCATGTCTGTCATTCTTGCTGGTGGTCATGAGCTATTATTACTCCAGTGCCATCTTGTCACAACCTCTCCCCATTTGTGTTCTCCTGACAGACCAGCAGTTAAAATCAGACTGCTGTGAGTAAATTCTCTGTGTGTTGTGTGCCTGCAAGTGTTTGTGCTGGTTATTTCCTTCTAGCAGAGAAGGGATTTCAGCTGCATCCGTGGCTCTGATAGCAGATTTATCCATTAACTTGCAGATTGTCTGTAGACTTCCATGGATCAGGGTGGAGCAGTAAGAGAAAGGTTTCCATTTTCCATGAAGTGGAAAAGATTTCAGACCATGAAATCTTTACTGTTGAATCTCTCTTTCTGAAGGGTTATGTTGTTATAATTAGTGCATGTGTTTCAGGAGTCCTGGAATGGTGTTCTGCAGTGTTCACCATGGAAATAACACACAAATCTTCCATACTTCTTAGGCCTTGAATACTTGATTGTTGTTTTTTTGGTGTACCAGAAAACTCCATGGTGGATTAGAGCAAATGAACTTCAGTTCAATCCAGGGGAAAGGTTATACGCTGGCAGAGGTGTATTTGACCAGACTAACCAATATTTTACCAGCCTTTTACTTTGCCCTTGGCATCTGTATAGTAGATAAAATGTGACACCTAACTTGTAAGTTGAGAAATATGGGCTGCAGTATCTGGGTTTTTCCTTATGTTCATGTAGTTGTTACTGAAGAAAGCTTTACAGATTTATCTTTTATTAGACTAACCCACACAAGCTTCTTCCCCTGAGGGAAGCGTTGGCCACAGTTAAGCATGCCAGAGTAATCTTTGTAAATCAAAGAGTAAACAAATCCATACCTTGGTGTATGACCTGTGTTATGGAGAGACTACTCTTGAACTTGAGGTGTTCTCTTCAGGAGTAACTCATGCAATGAAATGTTTAGAAGGGACACATATTTCCACGGATTCATAGCATGGAAATGAAATAAATCCCTTTGTGAGGCAGAGTACTACTTAATATATTTTTTTCTTATCTGGGCGATTACTCAAAAAAGTGAGATGACGAGATTGCATTTTTTATGCCATGAATATTTACGTAACTTGAAGGTTTTCAGCCGAAATATGCATATGAAGACATTGAGGGAAACAGAGTTAATGAAAAGCACCCTGAGACACAGGATGAAAAAGGCAATTTTGTTGTCAAAACAAATAATTTGCAGAATATTTTAATTGCAGTTCAAAAGCATACCATGAGAATTCCTAAAGATAGTGCTGTGTGTATTAAGCTGGCAAACTTGCTGTATTTTTGGATTTCTTGGTTTGCTTTCATTCCTAGTTAATGTGATAATTGCTTTAACATCATTACAACTGTAAGCAGCCCAGTACACAGCAAACTGCAACTCTGACAAATCACATGCCCATGCTTCTCTTTGAAAAAACCCCAGGAGTTTAACAGCTATGTTGCTTCTTTCAAATCTAGGAGAAAACAAATGCAAGAATATTGTCACTAATATTACCCTGGGTTTTATCTACTCTCTTTAATGGCAAAATGTAGGTCTCTTGTTGAATTGGAGCACATTTGTGGTAAATGTGTTCAGAAATGCCTTGTGTACATAACAACAATGCATGATAAAAAGCTGAGGCTCTTTCTAAACCTTTCTGTCAGCTCTCCCACTCAGCCTGAGTGCACATACTCTGTCAATATTGGCTCTATAGACCACCTCTGGACTCTGGAGATATTTTGCAAATTCTGTGTGGGATCTGTGATGTGCCATCACAGTAAAATCAGTGGTGTTGCAGATAGCCAGGACTGCCGTAACACTTCATTAATGATTCATTGAATTTCAAAACTCATGGTAATACTTCACCTGAATCACATACTCTTACATGTGTACCCTCTTCCTCACTGCTACTTGGATCAAAAGCTAAAAGGAATGACAAGCTAGAGAGTAGAAAATAGACTAGATTGAAACAACTTACTTTGGTTTTGGTGGCTTTGTAGGAGGCTCTAACAGAAGTAGCTGCATTACTAGGATTGAAGCTGCTTGCTCCATTTAGATATGTGTGTGTGTGGGGGGGGGTGTTCTTCTGAAATAATTGTGATAAGGAGAAAATGTTATGTTGCAAGCCTATTTGTGGAAAGTTTCTTTTCAGTTTTCTTTAAACTACCTTTTCTCCTAGGTAAAGGCAAACGTGTGCAGCCTCCTTGGTCTCCTCCTGAAGGGACAAAACATTCCAGGCTCTGCCTATACAACAGCCTGACTCGCAGTAAGGTGAGTAAATGAAAGGAAAGTGGAGATTTCCCTAGGAACACAAATAGAGCAGTCATCAAATCCTTGTTTCTGAAGTGTTTGCTTTGTCAATAGTCAGATCTCTGGGTTGTATTTTGTGGAATGTAAACAAGCACGGGCCAGGAACTCTGTGCCATTCAATTGCATTTGCTGGGCAAGTGTAATACTATATACACTAGTGTATATATACACCCTACAAGTGTGTCTCTCTTTTTGCATATTGCATAATATTCGGTTCCCAGTTTCAAGTTGTCATGCAAAATAGTCAGGCATTCAACAGTAATACACATAAGTGCAGGCAGTGTGAGCAGAATAAAATCACAGTTTCTTTATTCAGATGTTTTCTGTGTAAAAAAAAGTCTCACCAATTATACAGTTGTAATGTAGAAAGTGTAAAACTTCTTGTGGTCTTGTTTGAAAGTCCTTTTGGAAAGAGGAAATATTAAGAATATTAATTTTACATGGGATGTAGTATTCAAGTATCTGTGAACTGATTATAGGGTGTAAGCTTTTTCAATGCAAAACAAAACTTCCACTAACAGTTTGAATAGTGCCCTGCTTAGTTCAAATTGTTGTAACCTGATATCTTGATTGATGAGAATGCATAGAACATAAGCAGCCACTCCCCATTATCTCTATTACGTGTTAAAGCTGGTGATGATCTTTACTCAGGGTAAAGTTGGGAATGGAATAACTATTTGTTTTTTGTAATTATAATGCATGTTTTCATGTTGTAATCTCTAAATGGGGTGTTGCTGGCCTGGGGTCATGTCTTAAATTTCTTCTGACCATTGTACCTTCTCTTTCAATTAAGGAAGTATTTCAGCCTCAGAACGGAAAGAAGGTCTTGTGGTATTGCTGTGGTCCAACAGTTTATGATGCTTCTCACATGGGACACGCCAGGTACTTCATTCCTTACTTTGATATAGGTGGTAACAGTGCCTAGTGGAAGCAAACGCTTTTTAGAAGAAGGTTTTATTTAGATGAGTGTATTACTAGAAAATGTAATCTTTTGATTCAATGCTTGCAATTTAAGATTAAAAGCACATTGTAATATTTTATTGTTATGGGATTAAAAATTTACTAATAGATGGGGCAAAGTAAAACTGCTGCACAGTTATTGATTGAGGTTAAAATGGTTTGTGCACAGAATAGACACAAGTGTTTACTGAAAACACCCTTGTATCATTTTGGTTTTAGGTCCTACATCTCATTTGATATCCTGAGAAGAATCTTGAGGGATTATTTTAAATATGATGTTTTCTATTGTATGAATATTACAGACATTGATGATAAGGTAAGGGTTTTTTTTAAAATTGCAATCTAAAATGCTGAACTTTTAGAATGGAAGTCAGAGAGTCACATGTAATTGCCACTTGATAAGCCAAGATAAATCTTACACTTATTAACTGAGACATACATTTTGTGCACAAAGGTATTGATTTTCTCAGTTTTGTAGCATTCCTATGGTAGCAAACCCCATATTCTTGTATAATAATGAATGTTGTCAAAATAATGAAGACTAAGTATTTTAAAGAGATAATTTATTTTATTTACCTGTTGAAGTAATTAATTGACCCTGTTGAGGCAGTTCATTAACTACGTATGGTGTGTTTGATTTTTATTATTGCACACAATTCTTGTAGCTTGTTAAATTTATAGGGAAATGCCATTTGTACATAATAGATTTTATCTGCACTTTGTATGTGTCACATCAGGAAAATATTTTCATGTTTCTGATTTGTAGATCATCAAGAGAGCAAGACAAAATTACCTTTTTGAACGATATAGAGAGAACAAATCAACACCAGATCAGCTGCTTGAAGATGTTAGAACTGCCTCAGAGGTGGGTGTGCTAATCTCTGCTTGTGTTTTAGGTTCTCACTCAATAATGTAGGAAAGCATCTAAAGAATGCTTCAGACTTTGCTACCTCCTCAAACTTTCTCCTTCTTTAAGTTTTGGTCCTGCGTACATTAGAAATGTTCTTTGAACTGCACATCACTTTGATTTTTACATTGTTTTAGAATTGACAAATTCTTTAGATGGCATTCCTGATTTCTGTGATCTTAGCACTTATTTGTGAGTGCATGTATTGCTCAAACAGCATTTGGATGTTTGCGTGCTAGAATTCAAACTTTGAAAATAATCCTTTAAAAGAGTTTTTAAATGGTGGTCTGTCCATAATCTTCTAAAGCTTGGGAGGTTTCCCTTTTGTACCACTGATGACCTGGGAAAGAAAAGGCCTGAAAGCTTTTAAGGTTTAATAAATTGTGTATTCAGGACTGAAGGTGAGAGAAGGTGATTCTCTGGTAGTTTTTAGAACTACAGATCACAAAGAGATTATCATTCTAATGAATTGAAAACAGGCCTGGGAATAGGAGGGCTGGAAATTTTGGCCATCTATCTTTGCCTGACATACTCCCTAAACATTGCATTTAATCTCCTCCTGTTTCACATTAAAGCTTGTCCTTTTCAAATTCATGGTAATCAACTGCGCAGTTAAGGTGATTAGCTGCATAGAAAATGAAAACAGCAGCAATTATGATGATGATGTAGTGATTTATGAAGTCTTTCTGAAAAATGAATTTGGATGCGAACTAAAATCGTGTGATTGCACCTTTATTTCTAATGAGGAGAATATTTATGTTTCAGTAGTTGAATGTAAAAGCTTTTTCCGTGGCATAATGTCTTATTCATCACCAGCAAGGTACTATGTGGCTGGAGCATAGTGCTACTGTACTGCTGCTCGCTTTCAAATTTTTTTTTTTAAATTGTAGCCCTTTTCAGTTAAACTAAATGAAACAACAGACCCAGATAAAAAGCAGATGTTGGAGAGAATTCAAAATGCAGTGAAGTCTGCTTTTGACCCTCTACAAGAAGCTGTCCAAGCAAAGCTCCCTGCTGAAGAGATCAATAGATGTTATGAGGTAAGTTTGAACTCCTTTTCATATTTTTTGTTTGGCTTATAATTGTTAGGAGGTTTAAAAATAATTTGTAGCTCCTAGTAATTCCCTGAGACATTATGGAAACTTTAATTCATAAATAGAGGAATTGTGGGATGGAGAACTTTTTAGTACTTTGCATTCAATACAGGAAATTTGATTCTTCAGTTCAGCTATGGAGTTTTTGGATGCTGTTTTTATCAATTACATTTTTTAACCTTTCCAATGAGGATTTTGCTCTTGCATGTACTTAGACTTCCTCTTTGACTTTTTTGTCTTGGTGAATTAGTTTCATTATAGGTTAGTGAACATGCATTTCTGATGTTCCAATACTGGTGGCAGTTTTCCACACAAGTGTTTCTGTCTCTGATCATAGAGGGAAATACCTCCCACAAAGTTGTACTCAGGATTATTTTTATTAAAAACAATTATATTTAGTAACAAATAATCATGTTGACTTTATTGGGCTTTGGTTCTATCCCAGTAATCAAGTCAGTCAGTATAACTATTTTTAGTAGTTATTTTATTTTAGTAAATTATTTCCATTTTCATCTTCTCTTTGCTTTCAGATTATTCGTGATAAGTACTATGGGATACACATGGCTATATGCTCCCTTCTTGAGAAGACCCTCTCTCTAAATTACGGGTTTATTTTAAGAGGCCCAGCTATTCTAATATCAAGTGCTATCAAGTGTATACTGACCTAATGGAATTTTTAAAATAAACCTAAAATCCAAGTAGTCACACCGTCTGCATTATATGCTAGTGTCAGAAATAGAAGTCCTTTAATATAAGACTAAAAGATATCCTTGCTGATGTCCAAATTAGTCTTTCAGACACTTTTAAGCAGTGTGCACAGTAAGGCTTCTTTTAAATTATCCAGTAGCAGTGGGGAAACAGAAAATGTAATACAACTGCAGTCCCATCTGGTGTTTACAGTGCAAATTCCAGATCCTATTTAAGTGATCAATATCAAAACAGATACCACTTAACAATTTATCTTCCTTACCCTGGTTGTTTCTTCTGTGAAGGATGATATGATAAAAATTTGGTAGAAATCTGGATTATGCTGTATTCACAACTGTGTCTCATTGCAAATGTCTTAGTCCTTAGCAAACCTCTGTTCAGAATGAGATCTTTCTGCACAATTTGAACAGGGCAAGTCTTGGATCAGTTGCTCTTACCATTGTTTTCTAGATACTATTGGAAGAAGCCAAAGATTTGCTGTCTGACTGGTTGGACACAAAACTTGGCAGTCAGGTGACTGATAATTCCATATTCTCAAAGCTCCCCAAATTCTGGGAAGCAGAATTTCATAAAGATATGGAAGCACTCAACGTAAGTAAATGAACTGTTTTCTCTTCTAAAAATGTATATGCCATGCCTTATAGTACCCAGAAGACAATTTAGCTCCCTATTAGCTTTCAAGAATCTCATATTTCAGCCTTATTGATGAAGTAATTCCTTCAATATTAATAGGTAGGTGTTAAATTAGCACCTGCTGTATTTCCATCTCAACAATCTTCAATCTTTTGTGGTTGTTGCACATCACTTAATTGGTGATCAGGTTTGATGCATACCATCGATGTCATCCATCCCCTTGGTGTAACATGAGCAAATAATCATAAACTGGTCCAAAAACTTGAGCTGGAATCTCTTGGCTGCACAAGAGATCCCTGCTAACCTCAGCATTTAGACTGACTACTTAAGAGTTTTCAGCCATTAAGAAATTATGTGATGGTAACGATCAAGAAGAGATTTGTCTGTTACAGATGAAATTCTGTGTCACAGGCAGTGGTTTAGGTCAGTGAAGGTTGATTTACCTGCAAATCAGAGGGACTTTCTGCCTCTTCTGTCAGAAGAGCTGGCATCCCCTTAAGGACTGAGGAAAAAGTGGCCACAGTACGTTGTTTCAGAGCAAAAAGCTTGAAATAGGAGTGCTAGATTTTATTGTAACTTGCTTCTGAGCAAAATTGTAACCAATATATAACATATATGTTTAGTGCATATTTCCATATATATATAATTCTGCTTTTTATCTCTAGGTTTTACCTCCAGATGTTTTAACACGGGTTAGTGAATATGTGCCAGAAATTGTGGATTTTGTGAAGAAGATTGTGGATAATGGTTATGGGTGAGTTTGCTACTGGATGCCAGAATGAATGCTTTCACATTTAGCTGTGAGCTTTTTTCTCTGTGCTCATCTGCAACAGTAGTCTTTGCCAGAAGCAGTTTTTCATCAAATAAAGAAAATTCAGGTTTCCTTGCAAAAGAGCCATTATTTTTCACCTGATGTGCTTCTTATGATATACTACAGGGTAAAATCCTTGTTCATTAAAATAAAGTCCAAGTCCCATTCACTTGAACTGTATTTGATTCCTGGTCTTCATCAAAAATCATCAAAAATTGACACATGACAATTAGAAATCAGTTGCAAATAACAAAATTTTTTTAATGGTAGTTTTTATGACTGTTTCCTGATACCTCTCGAAAGCTTAGCAATAGCTGCTGTTTTTTCTTCATTTAATTTTATTATAACTTCCAATGATTTGTCCAAAGTCTTCATATGGTAAGGCCTTAAAACTTAGGCTCACCTAAGTCATATTTACAATACTGAGCAGTACCATAATGTGAGAGGAGTTACTAGAAAACTTCTAACAGTGATTTTGGGCATAAAATTCAGTTAAGCTGTGGTAGAAAGTTAGCTAAATATTGATCTTTAACTTTTCAGGTATGTGTCCAATGGATCCGTATACTTTGATACTATGAAGTTCGATGCCAGTGAAAAACACTCCTATGCTAAGTTGGTGCCTGAAGCTGTAGGTGACCAGAAAGCTCTTCAAGAGGGTGAAGGTAAAGATTTGCTCAACTTGCTGAAGAAACTGATGATGTGTTGGTCTCTTCAATTGATTTTACTGATGTTTGGATCAGTCCCAGTCAGAGCTTGCAGCAGATTTACCTGCTGCACTTTCTTTACCAATTTCTTTGCTAGTTTTGTAGCTTGAGCTTCCTGAAAAATTTTAATTGGAAGATACCAAGAAATGTTGGTATTAATCCTAGGATGGTTTGGGGTTGCTTTTTGTTTGTTTGTGAAGGTTTTTTTGGTCAGAATGGTGAATAACTCAGTCATTTGCCCATAGCCCAGTTATTTGCCCATTTATCTGGCTTGGAGTAGGAGCAAAGACTTGAACCTGGGTCTTCCACATGCCAGGCACAAGTTCTCCACATCAGGTTGGCATAATTTCATGACAAATAACTTGGGTTCTTCTTTCATACTGAGACCTCTTATTTTAACTTTATTGTGTTGAACCAAATCCAAACATAGATATTTTGAATAGAGCAATAGCAGAGTATTAACTTAAAATGCTCAGTAAATGGGACTCATTAGTTATCTGCTCCTAAAGTTTTACAGTTTTAGGAAATCATGTGGAAAGTCTATAAAAAGAATATTAAAAGGTTTTAATATAAAACTCATACCAGGTGAAATCAGGACACTTAAAGAGCAGTAAGTAACAGAGGAGTAAATGTAGCTGTTTAACAAATACCAATCATTTTGTGCAGCAGCTGAGATTAGGGAAAGAAATATGTGCCTAGTAATAGAATGTAGATGAATCTCATGTCAAAACTTAGAAAGCAGTGCAGCTGATACTTGTCAGATACTTGTCAACCAAATATTTACCAAAACCGCAAAGGATTATCAAGGTTAATAATAAGGATTTTTGTGGGTCCAGTGATTTGGGGTTTTGTTTGTGTTTTGGGGTTTTTTAATTTTTTTTTTTTTTAAGATTCTCTTTATGTGAGATACAGGAAGGCCAAAAACCAGTGACGCTGGTGTAAAATGTATACATTTACATTTTCTCTTTTGAAAGGTGACCTGAGCATCTCAGCTGATCGCTTAAGTGAGAAGCATTCTCCAAATGATTTTGCTTTATGGAAGTCCTCCAAGCCAGGAGAGCCCTCGTGGGACTCTCCATGGGGAAAGGTAAGGAAGACATTATAATCAGAATTTGGATTTTCTTCACTTATTTAAATAGCACAGTTACACAAGGTTTTTTTTGCCTCACCTTATATTAACACTGTATGAATTGTGGAGATTGTGTATTCAGTCATAAAGATTCTGTTGTTGATGTTCATTTAACAAGCTAGAATGTGTATCAGTCTGTTTGATACATTTTAAGCAGAAGTTTATGTGCAGGCTCAGCATGGCTGTTACTTGTGGTTTGTCCTCTGTTAATTGACAAGCTTTATCTGCACCAAATTCTGTTTTCTATTTTTTCCCCTTGTGATCAGAAGTATTAATGTAGCTTTTAAAAGAACAGCAAGCAAGATAATCAAAACATTACAGACGTATTGCCAGGTTGGATCTTTAAATGCAACAGTTTCCTTTTGTGAAGCTGAGGCTGAGAATCTTTTTTTCTCTTAGTAACAGCATGAGGGAATGAGGGGCAGGAGAAGAAGACAGTTACTAGTAACCAAGAAATGGCTTTTTTTTTTGTTAACAGGGTCGTCCAGGCTGGCACATTGAATGTTCTGCGATGGGTGGATCCGTTCTAGGAGAGTCGATGGACATTCATGGAGGAGGCTTTGATCTCAGATTTCCTCACCATGACAATGAACTGGCACAGTCTGAGGTGAATGAACTGACCTTTCTGCAGTGATAAAGCAACAGGCTTTGCTTTGACTGCAGCTTACACAAACCCATAATTCAGTTTTTTTAAACTTGATGTGTGTTTTCTGTAAACAAGAGTTTTGATTCTCAGGATTTTATTCTCATAAGTTTTCCTATTTCAGGATATGTATGTAAACAGTGTTGGATCTTTGGGTTTTGTTCTTTTCCTGCAGGCATACTTCGAAAATGATCACTGGGTTCGGTATTTTCTGCATACTGGTCACTTAACAATTGCTGGCTGTAAAATGTCCAAATCTTTGAAGAATTTCATTACCATAAAAGATGCTCTGAAGAAACACACAGGTAAAAATTATTTTGGAATGGGAATGCTTTTGGTGTACTTTGAGTGGTGACTATGATAATTTTTTTATTCGAGGTAACTTCAGGTATCTTTGCTAACTTTAGAACAGCTTCCTTGTTCTTCTGATCCTTGTTGGTATTTATCAGTATGGATGACAGTGGTTTTGCTTTTTTGGTAGATGTAGTAATAGTAAGAGCTTTAAAGATTATGTTCTTAGCCACTGCAGTATTGGAGTCGATGAAAATGTTTTAGCTTATAAAAACTTCTCTTGTTTATGTTAAATGTCCTACTAGCACGACAGTTACGGCTGGCTTTCCTCATGCACTCGTGGAAGGATACACTGGATTATTCGAATAATACTATGGAGTCAGCTATTCAGTATGAGAAGTTTATGAATGTAAGTTTTCCATTTCTTCTCCAGCTCTCTAATCTCTGTTTTGCTATCTTTGTTTCAAGGAATAGAACTCCAAGGATATGTAGGCCATATTTGCAGACTGGGTTTGCTTTCTGAATTCATCAGGTGGGATGGCACAGTGCTTATTTAGCTACCATCGAACTCTCAAGTCCTATAAATTCCACAGACTGCTGCATTTTTCTGCAGCTGGGTGCTCTTTCCAAGTTTTGACATCTCTGAGCAGTTTGGCACTTACACACAAGATCTCACAATTTTGCAGTTGCTTATAGAACTCAGCCCAACAGACACTCTAACATTTCTACCAGATTAGACTCTACACAAATGTAGCCAAAGGGGAAGAATGAATATTGTTCTGCTTTGTCTCCTCACCACAAACATTGAGCCTTTGCCTCTGTGCCTTGCAGGTGTGAGAGGTTAGGCACAATTCCTGTCCCTGGTTAGTTTGGAGCCATAATTTAAACTCACATTTCCCACAAGGACACTGTACAGCATTTTGAGATTGTTGATCTTGGTCTCTCCAGCTGAAGCTGTTCAGCTTTTTATTTAAAATGTGTGGTTTGGGCCACAGGTTAGGTTGAAATGTCTTTTTACCGAGCTGAATGCCCGTTTAATCGCTATAAAGCCATTTTATTCTTCAGCTTCCATTGCTAGCAACACACTTTAAATCTGTCATAAGAACTGTTGCCTAAACATTTTTAAAAGGTTTTTTGTGTGAGCAGCTTGGTGTTAGAATATCAGAGGGTATCATGTAGTAACAGAGCAAGAGATAAAAATGAATTGCAGTCCAACTGTGATTGACAGTTATGCAAAATGATTTTATTGGATTTTATTGTCTTGAGAAACATCATTAGATCCTGGCTGAAACAGTGTTGAACCCATAAAGTTTAGGAGTCTCATTAAGAAATAATGCCCTTTCATAGTTAGTTTTGGTTATATTATGTTCAGTTAATATGGTTAATTGAAACTGACTTCTAGCTATGTTCTTCTTTTATAGGAATTCTTTTTGAATGTGAAGGATATTCTTCGAACTCCCACTGATGTGACAGGCCAGTTTCAGAAATGGGAAAATCAAGAAGCAGAGATGAACAAAATGTGAGTGGAGCATTCCTACTTCTCTTTGAATTGTGTTGCTTCATGTTTAATTCTTTTCTTCTTTACAATATCACTTACAATGTGTATAATGATATTTATGTCTGTAGCATTCCCTCTTATCTCAATTCTTCACAAGCAATCATTTTAATCTTGGGACAGATTTACGAAGTATAGATGAAATTGTTAATTTCCCTTTTGTTTCGGTTAACTACACTGGCATGTCTCATTGCCGTGTTTGTGAAGGGAAAGAGAACGTTTTTGTTAGATAGCTGTCATTTTCTTTACTATGTGAAGTCTTGTCTTCTCTCTAAGAAGTGACCAATAATTCACAGTGGCTACAACTGGAAAAGCAGTATTTTACATATTTCAAAGTATCGTAAGCTATCTGAGACAAACAGAAGTTAAATGGCCTGACTAAACCCACGAAAGATCAGAGAGTCAGTGTTTGAAAATATGTTGAGTGATAACAATTTTGTAGTCTTTTGACTTTTATTACAAAACTACCATTATTACTTATAATGCAAAGAGCTTCCTAAATTACTTCTGTTTTGTCTGAAATTTAAAATAGAAGCATCTTACATTGCAATGCTAAACTTGTTTCCTAGTTCATTTCACTGTTATGGTCACTAATGTTACTACTGAAGGATTACGTGCCAATGTTTCTGTGTAGTGATGTGCTCTGAAAATTTTATCTTCAACTTGAGGTTGGTGGAGATAACACCTTTTATAAAAGGGTGGGAGATAATAAGTAATAGAGAGGTCAAAAGGAAGGGATAAAGAAGTGGGAGAAATAGAAGATATGCTTAATGGATATTTGGTTTTGTCTCCTTTCTTCTATCACTTTTTTTCTTGGAAAAAATACACTCTTTGAAACCATAAAACCTTTGTGTGATGAAATGGTACTTAATATATTGTATTATTTATTATACCTACTAACATGTTACTACTATGACAAAGGTTTGCATGAATTTATTTCTTTTATCTACTTGTAATATCTTCATAACAATTCACTTTGTGTTAAGTTAACTTCCAAATTGGTGCTCCTTCCTGGAAAGATACTAAACAGAGAACTTGGCTGGTACACAGGGGTAGAAGAGCAATACTGTAAAAAAATAAAAAGTAAGCCAAAGAATATACTAAATAAACAATTTATACTGCTTGGAAAAAAAACTTGCATGGAAAGGCCAGTTGCTGAAAAATTGTTTGATGTAATTTCTTTGGATAGGTGTTGCCAATTAGATTATACTGCCTGCCCTTGTCCATAGCAATTACACAGCAGCATCATGATAATGCCTTTTTTCTTGCTCATCTGTTTTTCCTTCAAATATAAACCATGATCAGCAAAAAGATATCTTACTTTTAGCTCCCCTTACTCTTCTAACAGAGACTCTTCAGAGTACCTTGCAGAGTTTTTGGCATGAGCAGTTAAAAATAATCTTTCTCTTCTCAGTTTTTACGAGAAGAAAGCAGCAATTCATGAAGCACTGTGTGACAATATTGACACCCGCTCTGTCTTAGAAGAAATGCGCTCGTTAGTCAGCCAGAGTAACTCCTATATTGCTGCAAAGAAATCTTCCAGGCAGATGCCTAACAGACTTCTTCTAGGAAACATCAGCTCGTATCTCACTCAAATGCTGAAGGTATGTGACAGCAAGGACTAATGTTGCTATTGCGCTGTGCAGTTATAACTTGTATTTTCAAGTATGGAGGGATGTACAGTCTTTGTTTAAATCTTACAGGAAACTAGAGATCTTCCACACGTCCCCCAGCCAAAACAACACTAAACTGCAGTGTGTGTTGCAGTAGGAACAATCTTGAGTTCTCCATGTTGCATTCTGTTTTCAGTTAATGTTTTGTTGAATAGTGGAGAGACCGCCCTTAATACGTTGAAGAAAAATCAGATAGTATAAAAAATGTGAGGTCAGAATGACAAATCTGACAGCTTTAAAGCTAAATCTGAAAGCCTATGCTTTGTATGGTGTATCAATTACAAACCAGAACATAATCTCGATAGAGTTGTGAATTGTGAGTTAAATGAGAACTATTCAAAAGCCTAGTATATGTGATTTTGCTTAGTTTTCACATTCCTTTGAATTGGTGTATACAATCTTTTCTTTTTCCTTTGCCAGATTTTTGGTGCCATAGAAAGTGATGATGCAATTGGTTTTCCTATTGGAGGGACTAGTCAAAACGTAAATGTAAGTGAAGGTCAAAATATACTAAACAGAATTACTCTCAATCCATTGAGAGCTTACGTTAAAGTGTTGACATTACTGATATGTATCTGAATTGCATTTTTTTGCTTTTAGCTTTTGAATCTGATGTAATTAATTGGCTTAGGAAGGAGGATTTTTCTATTACAAGAGTTGGTGTTTTTGTAAGTTTGTTTGATTTAATGACAGACAAATTGTATAGCAACCAGAAAAAGGATTATCTTGTCTTTTGAATGATGAGTCTGTTTCCTAAACCACATGTGAACTACAGGCAGCACATGCTACAGTCTAAAGACTCATTACAAGTATTTGTATGCTAAGTAGTTTCTAAAATGTAATTATACTGATTAAATTTCTTTGTGGTACACCAGAAGCCAGCCTGGAGGCAGCTGGAGTTGTATCCACATTTCAATCTCCTCTTCTGATCTCATTTGCAGCCGCAGTTTTTATGTGGCTTTCAAAGGCTGTTTTGCTTTAGACACCCAGCAGTTCTGCTGCAATGCAGAATTTTTCTGGAAATACCTGGGAGGTACCTGATGAAAGTGCTGATGGGCTCTGGAATAACTGGAACATTTTCTGGTGCAGGCAGGAGAAATAACTCCATATGAAAGCTATCAACACTTTGTGCCAAAAATCTCTTGTGGACACATCAGTGCTGTTTTTCAAGTATTTTTCTATATTTAAAGGTGTGACCGTGCACCTTTCTGTTCCTCAGAAGGAATAAATGGAACATTTCTGGTGTAACAAAAAACCTTAACTTTTTATTCATCAAAGGAATTGGCAAGCTTGCTTGTGGTTGGAAAAGTGGGGATGAACACTTATCCAATAATTACCAATGCAAATACTTACATTCACGTGCTGTGGAAGATGTTCAGTATTGCCTACAAAGCCCATCAATAGTGATTTTTAAATTTAGCTCAGAATTATTTTAAATTTCAGACGAAAGGTAGCACTTTAACACTTCACTTTTTAGGCAAAATGAAAATTAAATTTGTATTTAACACTTCAGGCAGTATTTCCAATAGATATGCTTTATGAAAGAATTGGTGATAGCTTCAAGCTTAGTCCTTTCACTCCTTTAAAATAACACTGCCAAGGATAGTAGAGTGAGAAGAATCTTGAGCAGAAAAAAAACCCAACAAACCTGTGCTAACACATGTTGTCCACAAAAATTGGATTTATTACCCATATGCAACAAGCCAGTAATTACACCCTCAAGAGCAACATTGATTATTTGTTTCAAAGTGCAAGCCTAGGTGCTCGATGGTATTCCACAAATCAAGCACACCAACTATCAAAACTTTTTACTAGTTATGCATTTTAGCAAACAGAGCAACTAGTGTTCATTGGCTATGGGTTACATGATTCTCTTACTAATTTGTATTCTGTTCTTTCTTGGTTAATAATTTTCTTGCTTCCTGTGCTAATTAGTCTGCATGCTCAGTCTTTCTGTTCTTTTGAGTCAGTGGGTTTCTTGGGTTTCTGGTCCCCGAGTTGGTGTTTGAAATTACCTTTTACCCAGTGGGAGCTGATTCAGCACGGTTTCTGAGTTGGCTTTATGAGTTTCTTCACTATCTTGGGAATTCTACCAAGTGTCCTTGTGACCTGTGAATTCTTTGTGGCATTATTGTGTCCGCTATCAGTGGTCCATCCTTCTCTCCAAGTTTGTTAACCTCTCCTAAGGTCTGAGATCATTGTAGCATGTCCAGCCCTAAACCTTAACAAGGCAATTCTACCAGCAAGTAGTTGGTTTTTCTATCACCTGGGCATTACTTGCAGCTTGCTTGTTAGCTGGTGTCTGTTTCAGGGATTAAATCTCCCTTATGGTTGATTAGACTTGAAAGGATACAAAATTCAAGCATTAAAGAACATGCTTTCTGAAGAAAGTTTTACACATTCCACATTTTGCAACACTGTTAGCACGATCAGAAGAATCTTGTGCTAACATCTCTTATACTCAAGAACCTTTTGTTTTTGTCACCCAAGTTATTACTGGTATTAAGCATTATAACATAAAAATGCACAATATCACAAATGTTTTGGCTGTTTTATTAAATATCATGCTGTCTTTCAGTCCTCCATGCAAATTCTTATTTTTCTTAGCACAAATTGAAGGAGGTGAACTTCCAAGGTTCAGAAACTTCTCATTAATTACAGAAGGCTGTGAGTCAAGCCAGTTGTTTCCCTGTTATAAATTAAAGATGAAAGAAACAATTGAATCAATATCTCCAAAAAAGGCATAATCCAGTTCAAAACTGCTGAAAGAACAACAAGCTTAATTATCATGGATCAGTCATTTACTTGAATAATGGATATAGGAGATTTGAAGTCAGAAAACCTCAGTTCCATAATATAATTTTCCAAGTGAATTCAGCATTTCTCTCAAGTTAGTTGTTGTGAAAATACAAATCTTTCATCTTGAAATGACTGATAAAGTCGTGACAGTGCCTGCTTTCCCCATACTACTTTATTTGCATGAAGAGGTATTTCCAGTGTGGGGGGGGAATGGAGATGTGACTGTTCCTCACATTCTAGAGTCTGTTCCTTGTGCCAAACTTGTCAACACTGGATATGATGACGAAACTGATTGCAGTGTTCGCATTTTTAAAAAGTTCTGACAGAACTCCTCAGTTCTTTTTGTAGGGGCACTTTTACAGCATGACAGACTATCATGTCTCTTAATTTTACAGAAATTTGTCATGGAGATTAAACAGACATGAAAGACGTGTGGAAATTATAAAGGAGACAGAAGTTTGCAATTTTTTTTTCTCTCCCCCATCCCCCAAAGTAATGAAACTTTTAATTTAGGCCTTCCCCCAAGGGCCTGTCTTTTCCTCTTGGGATTCCAGAGAAGGGTTGGCAGACACTGATGCGTAGTTGTTTTTGTAGCTGATCTGTAGTTGTTTTTGTAGCTGTTCACCAACTGCTTGCTGCTGCTATTCACTGCCATTGAGACCAGACTCACAGGACTTTTCCTCTGAGATTTTGTGCCGAGCTTTTACTTACACCTGAAATAATTCAACAGTAATCTTTCCACACTTTTTGTGGGAGAGGGAATTGTATGAGGAATATGGAGAATTGCACTGCCTATACAATTAGCATAAGCTAAAATCTCAGGAACAGATCTGTGTTCTAATGAAAATTAGTCCTAATATCAGTTTCACATGGTATTATTACCATGTGGGCCCAAGGCAACACAGTACATGAAGGAGCAAATTCATCTGAATGATGTTTTTATTCCCTGCACTGCACTGCATTATAGCTAGCAGGATTGTGGCATAACCCATGTGGAAGTGATGGATCTAACTAAAAAGTAGGTGAAAAAGGAATGGGAAACTTGACAAGCTGATTTCATCTGCTCAAAATGAAAATTGACAGCTAATGCAAATTGTCTTCTATGCTTTGATATCAATAGAGCAATGAGAATTTGTATTGATACAGATCTGCCCTGAGGGTTAAGTTCCATCCAACAGCACATAAATATGAAGTCTGTAGGGGCATGTTTTATATCTAAATGATGATTAGCTAACTGTGGAAATCACGATCCTGCAGATTGAATCTACAGTGATGCCATACCTCCAAGTTCTTTCTGAGTTCAGAGAAGGAGTGCGACAAATCGCCAGAGAGAAGAAAGGTGAGAGTACACTTTTTCCTGTAGTGTTTCACTTAAGACTTGGAGGTTATAGAAGCCAAACTGTGGGAGAGGATGGAGGGGTGGGTGTGAGGCACCTGATAGTCTCTCCCTGTTTAGAGAATGAAAGTAAAGCATCTTTAAATCAGAGCTGCTTTGATTTTTTGCATCTCTGCTGCCTGTCTCTTTAATTTGGGAATCTTTTTAGGCTCCTAAACTAATCTAAAAGAATCTAAAAGTTCTGGAATGATGAGGTGTAGTTGCTGTTATTCTTGGTTAGGGTGCTCCCTACTTTCTAGGTATAAAAGTACCCATGATCTCTTCCCCAGGGAGCTTGCATTTACTTAAAAGTGTAGATTGCTATACAATAATAGTATCTGCATTTAAATAGTCCGAGATGCTCACTATTATTTGTTAGCATAGTTGGAATTGTAGCTCCCCTGATGGTAATTGAGAGCTCCCTTTGGAGAATTCATCTGGGAGTTTGCTAGAAGTTTCAGGTGCCTTATTTAATCCCTCTGAAAAGCTTTGATCATGCTGTGTGTGTTGGCAGCAGAACTATAGAGTGTTAAAAGGGTTGTTCCATTAAGCTTTCTTTGATATTACTGATAATTCCTAATGGAGGAGCTCTTACTATTTTCTGCTGTTCCCTGTGGAATTTTGTCTTCAACATGTACGATTCTTTTTTTCTTAAAATTTTGACACTGGGATTTGTACTTGAAGGCAAAACAGGGCATTTTTTATACATAAAACATGCAAGGAACCCATATATTACACAGAAGCATAAAATTACTTGTAGTGTCTGGTAACCTATTCAGCTGGAAAAGACTCTGGACTTTCATTCTGCTACTGTTTGGAGTCCTTCTAAAGCTGATAAATTTACATTAAAAACACAAAACTGTAATTGCTGATGTGACTACTCTGCTATTATTGTCCAGCTCTTATATGCCTAATTGATGCTGAAAAATAGGCTTAGTAATAAGTTCTTATAGTTCCAATAGTAAATATTTTTTGTAACTTGAATTGATTCAAGAGGTTTTTGTGTATATCCTCAGCCAAATATGTGAGCTTTAGTCTTTTGGTATTCAACACACTTATTTACATGAAGCTTTTTTTCCCCCTTGCTTTATGATGGTTGAGCTAAATTGATAATTGCTTTTAGCAGTGGTAAGGTTTAAATATCACAGGGCTTCTTGTAGATAATTTTTAGAACATACTTGGCACTACACTGCTTACTGGCACTTGAATTTCCTACTTGGAAGGCAGTGATTTTTTGCCTGAAATAAATACACTGGACAGTGAGAATCAAACTGGATCTAGTCGCTGCTTGGCTGGGGTATGGAGCCCCCTGCAATTTGACCAGGGAGGCACCTTTCTTTTAAACTATTTGATACGTGGAAGCTGAGTGGTGGTTGGCAGGACCTGCACTAACATGCTACTGATTGCTTTCCCTTTACCCATTAAATTCTTGCTTGCAGGAAGTGTTAAATTATTGTGAAAGTTGTTCAGATTAGTGGCTGGGGATATTGCCTCTGCACGGCTGTAGGCAAAGGGAGTTTCCCCATCATAGCCTGTTGCTGGCAGGGTTGTGTTAAATATTATTTAAAACAATTTGCTTTAAATATTCTCAGATGTTAAATAAAGAGCATGTAGCTCTGTAAATTCTGCAGAGTATTACAAATGTCCCCGCCCATACACATGCACTTTGAAAATGCATCTACAAAACATTTCACAGAATAGCCATTTTTAAAGCAATGGTTTTTAGTAATAATCAAAATATATACACTCTGCAAAAATGTTACTGTCATCTAGAATGGGTAGTATTCAAATGCAGACTTAATAATTCTCATAGTGCCGTCTGCACCTTCTGCCCTCTCTCATATGTGTCATGAGTTGACCGGAACTGGGACAAGCTCTCTCGTTGTAGCATTGCCTGCTCTTGTCTTTTGCTGCCAGTCTTCACATCCAGCATTCTCCAAATGCTTTTCAAACTCCTCTTTTTCCTTCCCATCACAGTGTTCAAATTCACAACATCTCAACGTCTGTTTCACATCTAATACTCTTTGGCTTGAAATTGTGAGGAGGTCTGGGAAATAGTCACAGGCCCAAGGAGTGTCCATCTGCTGAGGCGTTGATGGGCAGTGATAAGGCATTGTCCCACTGGTTTCCTGGTCACTGTCCTCAGTGAGAGCCTTCTCATGTCCCGAGGCAGCCCATAAACAATCCCCTACCCAATCCTAAACATATTTGCTCGATTTTTGATAAGTAAACATCTATAACTGTGAAGATGCTGTTTTGGTGAATAAGCAGTAGGTGTTTCTGATACAGTCTTGATATGATATGTGTAATTCCTTTGCCTAGGTTCGAGCCAACACCTTTTAGTGTGAACAGCCAGTGAGGTAATCTTATCCCTGGTTTATCTTAATGGCTGATTTAGAGTGGCATCAAACATGACTGTGGTTCACTGTGTGTAATTGCTCTGGATTAGGAGAAACAACGACTCTGTTTATGGCAGACAAAAGAGGTTCTATACACTGCAGTGGTTTTCTGTGCAAAGAGAGAGCCACAGAACACAACCATGCACTGAAACAGGGTGTTCCTTCTCATGGTTTTAGGATAGTCAGTGCTGTTCACTTGCAGCTCTCTGAGAATTGTGGAAGAGATGAAGGCTCAGGGTGGTGTTTGTATCTACCAGAAGATGCGGTGTTTAGGAAACTGCCTGGATGGAGGCTTCCATCGCCTGAAATAATAACTTTGAGAGCCTGGGTACTTCTTAGGTTTAACCAGCTAAGAATTGCTGAAAGGAAGAACACTTGTTCATTGTAAGGACATCCAACCCAATATCTGTCTTGTTATGCTTGCTAAGTGTTACTCCCAAATACCAAACTGCCTATAAAAAATGCCACTGAATTCACATCAGCAACATACTGGTCTCTTTGATGCATTTAGTTCCTCTTAACTGTTCTGCTGCTTCTCAATTGATACAATTTCTCATCCAAAAATTATTTTGTGTGAAGATTTGTTTTCCCCTTAAAAGCTGATAGCGTATATTTCAGCTAAATTTTAAGGTCTTAACTATTTGCTATCATCAAAGGGTTTTTGATAAGTTTGCAAGGGAAAAAAATATTAGCCATGATATCCTGATCACCATGCAGAAAACCAAACCAAAATTCTCTGTTCTGCTGCAACTAGATTGCTTAAAAGGAGGATGTTGGGATTACTCTTGACAAATGTATGTGTAGTTATCAAATCAACAAAATCATAGTCCTTCAAAGGGCACTGTTAGATTTAGCACAGGATATGTTAATTTGGGATTTTTCTAAAATTATGTTTTTAACATTTCTTATTGCACATCCTACAGAAACCATTAGGATTTTCCTGAGTCATATACCCTTCCACCATACCCTGGCAGAATTGTTGCATCATTTCTGAATTGACTTGGATTTTCATTCTGTTCCCCTTCAGGAACAGTGAGGGTATCTTGGAAGAAATTTGTGATTTTCAAGTTCCTGCAAATAAACATGCTGCTTCTCTGTGTGGCTGAAATAAGGCAGGCCTTACTTATCAATTTAAAAGAAAAGATCTTTCTTTCTCTTTGACAGAGTGGCAATTTCTTAGTTGTACCTAAGTAACTATGTAGCTGGATAAAATATACTTTAGCCAGATTTTACTTCACTAAAAGTATTTTTCATGCTCTGTAGTAACTGAAGTGCTGCAGTTGAGTGATGCTCTCCGGGATGACATCCTGCCTGAGCTTGGAGTTCGATTTGAAGATCATGAAGGTACTCAGTTATCTCTTGGAACTTTGTAGGAGCTGTTTTTATAATCCTGCTGTTTTCCTAAGAAGTGGGAAAACAAACTGTCAAAACTAATTTAGAATAATTCAGTACACTCAAGTATTGCAGAGCTATGGCATATCATATGTATATGTTTCATATACATTTCATATGTACTACATATAATGGCACATAATATGTATCATATATAATAGTGTATATATATGTATGAATATATATTGTAGAACTGTGTATTGGAATACATGTTCAGAATAAAACAACATACATTGCAATATTTTTCGCCTTTTGTATAACACCTAATTTCTTAGTCACTTTTAAGTAGCCACTGAATTGTATTTGCATTCAGCATGCAAAAATAAAACAATTATCACAGGGTGAATACATTTATCTTTGACTAATCAAGAAAGTAATCCATCTGGTTTTGCTTCTTTAGGACTTCCAACTGTGGTTAAATTAGTGGATAAGGACACATTATTGAAAGAAAGAGAAGAAAAGAAAAAGGTAATTATTTTAAGCATCCCATATTTTTGAAATTGAAAGTAATGTGTAAGCTATGAATATTTTTACATTTCTTTGATAAATCATAAGAAAAATCATATCAGGCTACAAGGAACAAGGAAGATGACATAAGAGAATTGATACAAAAATTTGAGTGTGTTGGAAGAAAAGAAATTTTTGGAACAGCTTCTTGAAAACTTTGTATGGGACCTAGTGAATACCTCTAAGATTTTTTATTTGTTTGTTTTTTAAGATCTTCATATAACAAAGAGATGTTCAGTGTTGCATTCAAACTGTCTTATCTTTTTGAAAGAACAATTCCAATGAGAAGCTAATTCAGACTTATTTTGTTGGTACAAATGAGGTCAACGTTTGCCATGGAACTAGTCTGGATTCATCTGATGTGTGAGGAAAAAGTGTACTGCTAAATCATAATTATTATAGTATAGATTAATGAGATATTCAAGATGTGGGGGCAAGAATTCATGTTATTCTATAAAGCTTGTGAATTTGAATTCACATGCACAAGGTGTGTATAGAAACCCTGGTTTTGGCACTTCCTAGCATTAATACTTGACTTTAATATCTAGAATATTGAGAAGTAACACTTCATATGTCCATCTTCAATCTTACCAAATAATGAAATTTTATCACAATGTTGGAAGACTTTCCAACATTTCTCCTTCCATGCTGATGCTTTTTTAGAAAAGGGAGAAGTAAAAAGTCATTTTGGTCAGTTCCAGATGTTTTCATCAGAGTGGCATTTGAGGGCAGTTTGTTTACAGCTGCTGGGTAGGACTTGCAGCCAGAGTGCCTTTTCCCTGGAAATGGCATTATGTTCAGTACTGGCAGATCCCTTGGAGAACTGACAGGTCTCTCCTGGGCAAGTGCAAGATGGGATTTTTAGCAAGTTGGCTAAATTTGGATAATTGTTTCCTTAGGAACATCAAGTGATACGACTGCTGCTTGAGGAACTGTGATAGCTTCACAGTTTGAGGCAAGAGCTTAAAATATCATTGAAATACAGTATTTTTTAAAAGCCATTTGCAAAACATTTTTCCCCCTAAAATGATAGGACAATTTCTTTTAGGTATTCTTTTCTAGGTATCCATTTTGCATGCAAAATGCATTCTGAACAGTTAAAACTGGTTTAACTATGAATAAAAGCAAATGAAATCAAAGTCACACAGTGGGAAGTATCAGACAATCCTAATTATTAGGCATGGTGGGTTTGCTGCAGGTCATGCTGCCAGTTCTGTCTGTGGTTAGATATCCAGGGGAGCTGGCTCAGGTTTGTAGAAAACAACCAAATGAAATAGTACATTACTTTTTACTCACTAACACTGCCTCTCACAGATAGAAGAAGAGAAAAAAAGGAAGAAAGAAGAAGCAGCCAGGAAAAAACAACAGCAGGAAGTAAGTAACCTCATTTTGAAGGAGAGTGTAGGCAGCAGTAGTCACGTGCAGGAAAGAACATTAGAACACAGGCTCTCTGCCCAGCCTTAAGCAGGTCTCAGCTTCTTTTGTTTTTTGTGTAAAATTTCCTGCTCAGAATGGCTTTGGCTTGCAGTTCAGGTCTGGCCTTTAAATTCTTGTAGAGAAGCCATTTTTGAAAACGCAACTGAAGCCTGCAAAAACTTACTGCAGAAGAACTTGTAGCACTTAATTTCAGTCTATAAACAGTATTACTTTCTTAACTGGCAAACTAGTATCTTGCATGCTTGTTACTGTTAGAGAAGATTTTGCTTGTGTCATTTATTATTTTATTCCCTTTCTAATATCATAAGTGTACGTGAAAAGGTTTATTTTTCTCCTTTATTTTCTTTTTCTCTATGAGAAATCCCCTGTTCGTTATGACTGAGCAGGGAGATGTTTTATCTCTTTGACTGGAATTCAGATAGCTCAAACATTTTGAGCTTTGGATGGGGAGTAGACAGAGGAGATGAACTTATAAGAGAAAATATTGTTTGCCATGCTGATGACTTTAACAGTACAGGAAATACATTCCTCTGTTAAAAGAGGAAGAGAACTTTTAGAGACTATCACATTCGGAGATAAAACAAGATAAATAGCATTTATCATCCACAAATTACAAGCACCTTTTTTCACTTTTTCAAAAAGATTCCTTTGCGTAGGGCAAAAAATTACATGGAAGAGATTCTGAAATGTGCTTATTTACAGATAAGGGAGAGTTTAGTTTGTTTTCAGTGCAATTACTGCATCTGATTCTTCTGTGACCTGCAAAGAAACCTTTGCTTGTCAGCAGGAAACTTGATAAAGGTGGTTTCCTTTGCAGTGAGTTAATTGCTGAATATTCTTTATGATAGCAGCTATTCACTTTATGTTGACTAAAGAACCAAGTTAGAAAGAATCAAATGTAGTTTTTGGAGTATATAAGCAAATGATTTTGAGTTTCTGCAATGCATCTGTTTTATAAAGTGGTTCTCTACAGGTTTTAAAACAGTTCTTCCCCCAGACAAGCACAGCTAAGACCTACTGAGTTGTTTCTCACTCCAAGTTTCTTTTCACATAATAAACAATTATGAATTGAATGCTCCTTGATTTTGAAATTATAATCTCCTTTTCCTTTTGCATATGTGACAGGTAATTAACTGTGATGTTAATGCATGTTTTATATTACAGGCAGCAAAACTAGAAAAAATGAAGATTCCACCACATGAAATGTTTAAATTGGAACTTGACAAATATTCTATGTTTGATGAAAATGTAAGAGAATTTTCTTCATATAGGGAGGGGTTTTCCTTCCCCAGCTGTACATACTTATTTGTATATGTTTATACCAATCTTGTTCCAAAGCTCCAGGGCAGTGCTATTAATGTAGCAAGAGAAGGGAAGGAGAGAAAGAAAAGGTGATATATGAATTTTATTGTGCATTGAGGAGCAAGGTCTCTGTTAGCCATCATTACGAGGGTATTTTCCTTCTATGTTTCTTTGTGCATTCATTGTACATTTCCTTTGGCTTCCCTTATTGCAAAGCAAAATATATATTGTGGGTAGGAACGTGTATGATGTTCATTCACAGATTTATTACTCTGGTGCAAGGCAGGGTATTCATTTGCAAGTACAAACTCCCCAGCTCTGCCAGAACTGATATTTTTTGGAGAGGTCCTGTGTTTCCTGTTTTCTTCTACCCACTGTTTTGCTGTCTCCTGGCAAAAGCTCTCTGAAGGGGCTGTATGCATAACTTTGCTCTTGATTGCTCCCCTTGGGGATGAAAGGGTTACTTGGAAAACATAAAGCACTCTTTCTTCACTTCTACTTGATTTGGGTCATTGATCCTGCTTCTGCCTCTCCCCTTCACCTACACAAATTCAAGCCCTAGGGACAAGTCAGAATGGAGATGAAAAATACTGGAAAATACCCCTGCAAGCCAAGGAGAATGTCCAAAAAATGCTGATGATACTTCCTTCATCAACAATATAAATCTCTTACTGCTTTTGCTTTAAGCCTTGAATTCAATCTGCTAGTATAATCACAAGATTATTTTAACCATCTGTTCAAGAATTAGTCATTATTCTCTTAACTAAAACCAACTAAAAGTTAGTGGTCTAAGATTTCCTTATGTGGCTCAGGACAGAAGATAAATACACCCTTATGCCTCTTGTTTAGCTAGGAAGGGAACATTCAGAAATAGTCAAAGTTAGCTGTCAAACTTGTAGGTGACTAAAATTAGCCCAGATACACCCCTTCCTGACAGCCTGTCATTATGACATTATCTCCCTAATTTATTAAAACATGATTTCATAAAGAACACAAGCAGACCAAGAATTTATCTTAAATACTCTTTTTTTATATGTATTTCAGGGATTTCCCACCCATGATACAGAAGGCAAAGAACTTAGCAAAGGACAAATTAAGAAGCTAAAGAAACTTTATGAAACCCAAGAAAAGCTACACAAGGAGTATCTACAAATGGTTCAGAATGGAAGTGCAAATTGAAAACAACAGGACTTTTTATTTAGAAGGCGAGTGCTGGGTTCCCATTGAAGAAGTGAGCATATACTGATGCTCAAATTTCTGTTTACACTTTCTATTATGTGCAAAGTAAAATTCCTGTTTACGTGGGTTAGTAATGTCATCTGGAAATGTAATAAAAATCCATCATGAAAAAAAAAGCCAACCTGTAAGAAGTTTCTTCTCAGCCGTAGCAATAGTGGTTGCCAGTTCTATTTATGAAGGTGCTGCTCAGTCAGCAAATCCACATGAGGATTCTTGTTCATTCTAGCTGTCCAGGCTTTGTTAATTTTTTCTGCATCCTGATCTCTATCTAAGACTCAATGTTACAGTCAGAAAAATTTATTGCTTAATGGGAGCTGAGTAATTTGCCCTACAGTAAGAACAGTATTTTCCAGATGACTTTAGTATCTTTACATAAGCAGGAAAAGTGGGTATTTCCACTATGACACTTATTTTAACTGCTGTTATTAAAAACTCTCATAAGTATACTCAGAACACTTTGCATAGTAGAAGTTCACAGTCCCTTTGTTGAAAAAGGGAACAGATCATCAACCTGCAGTTGCAGTCAAGTGGGTAAGTACAAGGCAAATGCACCTGCATTGAACAAACAGGTAGGAAAGACATGAAGGTCTGATGGCAGAGGTGGTGTGTTTTTGGAGCTGTCCCTTCCAGGAAACAGGAGCCCTGCCAAAGTACCTGATTACCCAAAGTACTCAGTACCTAATTACCAGTTTAGAGCCATGGGGAATTAACAGAGGTTTTCCTACTGATATACAGTTGGTGGATTGGTTTGCAGTTAGGGAATACAGCTAGACATTGCCCTGTGTTCAAGACTGATTTTTTTAACATGATGATTTAACCCTGAGATAAAAAACGGCCTGATGTAATATGGTCATGTTGTATCTGCATGAAGAGTTCTTTGTTGCCTAACAATGCATTTCACTGGCAGAAGCTACTAAATGAACTAAAGTTCGTGAAATCCTAAAAAATATCTCACCTACTTTACAGCTGCACAGATCAGCCAAGTGTCTGATTTGCAGAACTATATTCATTCAGTATTCTCAACCTGACTTGCAGAAAGTCATACTGCAACACCTCTGTTTTCTCAACTCTTAGGTTCATGCTACAACTATCAGGCCATGTTCCTGTACTTAATTAAGAGTTAAAACATCTTTGATTTTCCTTGTTATTTTTATATTTATATTCTTTCTTCTGAGGAATGAACACATTATTTGGAGTAACAGAGAGGTCTAGTGGGTTTGAGGTTTTTCCTAATTTGTCTGTATTTGCCTTTGAAAACATACATGATGTTAAGGTCAGTAAAGCAGATGCATCTTGTGTACAGAAAATAAAATCTGTTGTGAAGTACTTGTATGTGAACTTTGTGTAGTGAGAATATTGACCTTATTCCACAACCATCTTTTTGAAATGTGGTTTACAGAGCTTTTCCTTTAGCTTGCTAATTTAATCAATTTTGCATTCAATATTTGATTATTCTGCTAATTTCTAATCAATTTTATAAATGCATGTTTAAACTGCACATCAGGGCAACTTCTCCATCCTTTGGTATGAGAAGAGACAAGGTTCAATTACATTTTTTTGCAGCATTTTAGAGTCTAACTCCCTTTGGCATTATCAGCTCATCATTTTCTTCCCAGCATGCTCCCTGAAGATGCATATGCACTCAGGATATCTTTGAAAGGATGGGACATGCCTATGCTGCTTCTGAAGTAGAAACTTAATGTCAAATAGTGCCAGGAATTTGAATACAGAAATTGGTTTTGGTGATCGGAGTTAGCACTTACTTAAAGTGAGTCAGTATTTAACTGTGGAGAAAGTGCTGTTGATCCATTGCTGACCTGGACTGTAGTTTATGACATCTCCATGATAAAATCTTGACTTCTGACCCCACATTTTGTTTTTTCTCTTCCTGCTATGTTTTTAGTAGAACCTAATCCAATTCCATGACTTACCTACTCTATCAATGTAAAATAATGGGGTGTTTTTTAAATGCACTTTTTCCTTCCTAAATGCTTCATTTTGTTTCTGGGACAACTTTCCTTGCAGGGATCTTGGGAGCATTTCAGACTCACGTTTTCCAAAGGTTATTTTCCAGTCTTTCTGTATGCTTCCCACATGCACACACTGCTTCCCCCTTCCCTCGGTATATTTTTTTTTTAATTCTTTATGCGTAAAATCCTTGTGAAGGAAAACTTGGTAGCAAACAAAGAATGCTGCAGCCAGGCTTGCACAGTGCTTGAGTGCTTGCACAGGATGCACAGTGCTTAAGATGACTTTTTCAGTGTGGGCATGCCTATTGATTTGTGGGATTACTGAATTGCACAGACAATACCTATTCCCTGGCAATCCCTCAAGGTGGCACTTCAGTGAATTCCACTGCACTTGCTTTGTGAGAGAGACCTGGCAAGCAGGAGAATGGAATTGCAACAAGAATGGTCTGCAGTGTCTTAGTCATCTGTCTCACTCAGCTAGAAAAAGGGAGAGGACAGACTACACAGTATTTTAATTTTTTGGTTGGTTTTTTTGTGTGTGTTTTTTTTAAAGGTCGTGTATGCATGCTCACTCTCAGGGAAGCCAGTCTGAAATATGATTTTCTAAGCATTATGAAAATCCTCATAGCAAAATCTTAGAATTTTTAAATATTTTAATTTTCTGGAACAGGGACCTTATCTTGCTCATACAACATGGAGTTTTTCACTTCCCACCTGTCAAAGATGGCAAGGGAAGATAAAAGAGTGGTGTTTCTGTTTTTAATTGCACCTTTGCCTGAAGGCCAAACTTGGCAGCAGCAAATTTTGTCTCTTGCTCAGAGTGTGCCTTTCAGCCTCTCTGATGTGAATATTCCCATTAACATCAAATGTGAATACTGCTCCACTCAAGAGAACAAATTCCTCCCATCACTTAGTTTGCTGAGATACTGGTAGAAAAGTCTGTGAATTGTTCGGTGTGAACTTGATGCTACCAATCTTTTCAAAGATTTTCAACTGGTGAGTGCTGACTACATTTTTGCTACTGCCTTTGACCTGTTTATCCTTACATTTTTATTTGCTGTCTCTTGTTGCACAAAGGCACTGGTACATTTTAAGTGCATAAATAAGCAATTCGCTGCCACATAAAGTGCATAGCTTAAAACGTAGAAAAATAAGCTGAAGGTAAGTTTAGGCATTCTCAGCTGGTGGTAGTTGTTGGACTAACTTTAGCTACCTCTTTAATTACACAACTTCTACCACACACAAACACGGGGAGGAATTTTGCTCCGCTCTGTGATTTCACACGGCAATTTCTATATGTACCCCATGCATAGTACTTAACATGCCTTGAGACAGATTAATTAAGAAACATATCAGCTATTTAGTGCCAAGACTCTGCTTAGCAATGAACTTCTCCCTCCCCTGCAGGAAGAGTCATTGACAGACTACGTCTTATATCTCAGATTAGGCTGTGAATGTCTGGCATCTCACCCAGTGAGAGCAGTTTCCATTAATACCCACCCAAGGGCAGAAGACACAGACAGTTTTAATGCCAGTCACAGATCTCAGCCTAGCTTGCTCTCCAGTGTCAAGTGCATCTGTTTGGCAGCTCTGGCAGAATCCCTTCCCTCCGTTTTGGTTCTCCAAGCCCTTGCATGTGAGACTGGGTGCTTAAATCGAGCCAGGGTGATTCAGCAGATATCCGTTTGCAGCTCTCTGCAGGGTGGCAGCACCTGACAGCAAGATGACTCCACAGATTGTGCTTTATCCACAGTCCTGGAGTTACAGTTGTCTAACTAAGGTTAGACAACAGTCAGCAAAAATTCCTCATTGATCATGGGAGGTTTAATGCCTTTGGAGAGGGGGCACTAAAAATCCAGAGTGCAAGGTAATTGAAATGTGTGTTTACTTTGATACACAGGTGCAGAAAGGTGCAGCTAGATTACATAGTCAGGCAAAACCTCTCTTATATTCTCATAGGAGATAGTTTGGAGTTTGTACTCAGCATCTGAATGACTTTTAACAAAGAATACTTGATAACTGTGAGCCAGCAGCAAGCACAGAAGTGTGGAGTAGGAATACCTTCAGATAAACCCGTCTTTCAGAGATCATTATGCTCTTCTTTAGAACACTGAGAATCAAGCATAGTCACTACTATGCATAAAGTTGTTCCAAAATTAAGGATTAATGGAAATACGAGAAGGCTGTTAATCTGCTGAGGTTAGAAAAAAGACTGGTTTGGAGAAACAGGGAAAGGGAGCTGGAAGCAAAGTAAAGAAGGGGAACCTCCCACTGAACGTGTCCTCTGGCCCATCAAATCTGCTTGTTTGTGCAACTGGCTACAACATTCCTACAGTTCTTCCAAAATTATCTCATTTTTAATTACAGTGTTAGTATCTAATTAAAGATTCCCTGGTTATTCCTGTAACTTAAATTCTTACTGTAAATTATTTACTCCAACATTAATATATTGACTCATTGGAAGCAATGAGACCAGTATTTTATAAATTAACAAACACTAGTCCTTACAGAAATCCAAGCTGCAGACTTGGAGAAAACTTTTTAGAACAAGAGAACTCTCTGACAGGAGAAAAGGGTTAGATGTTTTTTCCCAATTGACTGAGAGGGGCTGCAGGTGCTGAAATTGCCTGTTCCTCACACCAGCGCTTTCAGACTGCCATGCACACAGAATGTGGGCTGACAGTGGGGTTTTCTGGGCTTGCTATGTGAACTGGGTCCGAGCCAAAGACGGGCACTGCCATGTCCAGCCTTGCAGTGGAGGTGCTGGAAAGCAGCACCACATTTCTCAGGCCAGGCACGGTGCCTCAGAAACTTCATGGGTCAACTACCAGCATGGATAATCTGAACGACAAATTGCAGTTACTGAGGCATGGAGGGATCTCATGTAATTGCTGAGCCATAGTGGGATAACCCACATGACTGGAATGCTGTCACGGCTGGCTGGGTACTTTTGAGGACAGGCCAGAGAGGCAAGGTGGTGGAGTTGCTCTAATCCTACCCAGGAACAGATGAATGAGTTGAGAGTTTGTGATGAGAATTAAGGGCTGATACAGTGAAACCGTTGTGTGTGTTTTGGGACAGACCCGCAGCCTCACAGGCCCCGGGGCTCCAACCACCCTGATATTTGTTGGAGCGACAGCAGACCCGGCACACACAGTCCAGGAAGTTCCTGCAGATTACTGAAGATACCTTTTTGCTGGAGGAGCAGAGGAAGAAAGGGGTGTTGCTGTCACTTTAAGAACGCGGGCACGCGCCGTCCCCCGCGGCCCCGCCCCGCCCCGCATCACGCGCTCGCCTCGCGCGCGCCCGCGGCCCCGCGCGCCCCCCTCCCGCGTGCTCTGATTGGCCGAGCGCCGCACGGCGGACAGTCAACATGGCCCGCGTGCGGCGTGGCGGCCGCGGCGCCGCCAGGGCCAATCGACGGCGCCCTTGCTGAGGGAGGGGCCCGTCCAGCGACCAATGGGACGCGTCTTTGTTGGCGGCGGCGCTGCCCGAGCGAGAGCTTGCGAGGAGCCCGGCGGCGCTGCGGCCTCTGCGGCGTGAGGGGCGCGGGCAGGTGAGGGCGGGCGGTCCCGGGCTCCGGGCCCTGTGCACCGGGTGCGGACAGCGGACGAGCTGAACCGGGCGCCGCCACCGCGACGCGGGACTGAGGATTCTCTCTGGGCCCGCTCAGGGGCGGAGTACGGCGGCGGCCGCAACCGCCCGGCGCAGAGGAGTTTGTGCCCGGCCTGCCGCGGTTCCATTTTAAGACCGGTTCGAGAAGTTGGGGCCTACGGAACGGTTCCTGTGTTGCTCCGCGCCTGGCGGAGGGTAACGCAGGGGTTCTGGCCGCATGTATGGCCGCGCTGCCTGGCAGCACGCCCGCCCTGTCCCCGCCTTCCCGGGGGAGCTGGGGAGGAGGAGGGCGGGAGGGCTGGCTGTGGTGAGCGCTGCCCCCGGCGCTCTCACGCCGCTGTGCTCGGCTTGAGTTAAGGCCTTCGCTGCTTGCCTGGGGTCGGTGCTTTCGCCTGACCTCAGCCATAGTGTTGTGTTCCCGCGGCGCGGTGGGCGGTTTGAGGAGCTCGGTTTTGCATTTCGGCTTCCTTGTCTTCCAGTTGAGGGCCTGTTTGAAATTTTTCTTTGCTGCTGCGATTGTTTACTACGCACAATACCGGTGTCCGTAGGATTTGTCCCTTCCCGTAGCATCTGCTCACGAGGCTTTAAAATATAAAGGTAGAGAAGCGAATGTGGGAGTTACGATGAAACCAGAATCACTAGGCAGACTTTTATGAGGTCATCTCTAAACAGAACAGTATTCCTTTATGAAAACTTCAGAGGTGAGCCTAAGTATTCCTGATGTCCAGGGCTTGTGGAACAGGTTAATGAGTTTCTTCCTCAAAGTAATTTTTCGTGATCCTTTCTTACTATCCATACAGAAAGTATCCGAATGTTTCGTTTGTGGCTTCCCACGCGGTTGCATCTCAGTGCTTCTGAAACGGAAGCTGTTAACTTTCCTTCTGATTTGTTGTAGTTACGAAAAGCACTTAACAGCTGTGGGCAGGAGTGTTCCTGTAAGTTCAGGAGCCCTTCAGTTTCCTGTTTTGTATTTTAGTTGCGTTCAGAAAGTTTGTGCAAGGCAGAGAAGATGTATTCCGCGTACACTTACGTTTATGAGTACATCTTGCCAGTCTGTAGGTTTTTCCCTTGAATTTGTGTCCTTCAGGTTATTCTCCTTGAGTTTACAGTCTCCTGCAATTTTAAGTGATTGATGGTGTGTGACATTTGTTGGCAAATGTCACAAAGTTGCAGCAGTAGTCTGCCTTGTGGAACAGGGGCTTGATTTGATCTCCTCCATCCCCAAAGCTTCATCTGCATGAGTAATTTGAAAACAGGGAACTGTCCAGAAGAAATGAGGCACTAATTTGGCCTCTTAATGGTGGTGGAAGCAACAATAACGTTGCTTTCTGCTGTTATTTCCTTGGGTTCTGGTTGCTTTTTCATGTCTTCATTGCCTGTAAAGTTGCTTGGAAAGTAATGAAGACAGTGGACGTGAAGGCTTAGTGCTTTGGTGCTGTTCATTTTCAGCCGGTGTGCACTTAACCTTTCTCTCCCCTCCACTGCCCTCACCAACTTGTCCGGAGCAGTTTTGTAGGTGACTCTGTGGCAGTGAATCAGTGCAAGGCAGCTGGAATGAAACTGGGAACGACAAGCTTTCTTCTAAGAAAGTTGCATCTCATTATTTATTTATATACTTTTTACTTTCTAGTTGCCAAAGGCACAACTCTAGGCAGTGAAACAAGACTCGGAGTATGTATTTGCACCCGGGAAAGGCATTTTTTTTCTTATTTTCTTTTTTTTGTGTTTGCTTGTAACTTGGTGAGTGGCTTTTGTCAGAGCATGCTTAATTCATGTCTGTTCCAGTGAAGATGAATTCAGCTGCTATTAAAACATTATTCCATGTTTTCCAAACACACATGAGTATCTTGTCTTCCCTCAGGAGGCTTGAGAAATAGTTCCCTGCAGGAAATACAGCACAAACAGCTGAGCACAAGAATTTTTATGTGGAGTAGAGTCTGTTCCATTAGCTCGGTTGCTGGGCCTAGGTTGGAAGCCACAAGTCTTTGAGGGTAATTTTTAAGTGATATGAGTCTGCATTTTTAGTTGCCTACTGTTGCCTCCTCTAATAGTGATTAGGATCATGTAACTTGTTGGCTGAACTCTGATATTAGGGCAGCTTGCAATGTTTTACCTTTTTAATTGTATCTTTTCTTCCCTGCGTTCTGTTGCCGTGGAAGGAAAGATTCATTTATGCTCCTTTATTTCTTCAGCTGTGAGACTGTAAAAATCTGGTTTGCTCTAGCAGGTGGTTGCTGGCATTGCCACTTTCTTTTGTTGTGTTTAAGGCAAGAGGAAGTGTTTGGAAGTAAATCTGCCTGAGCTGGTGGAACACCTACTCTGCCAGAAGCGCCTTTATTTTGTTCCTGGGCTTAACCTGCAGGGTGGGCTTCTAGGCTTATATGGGAGATGTAAACAACTTCTTGTGGAATAATCTGTAGTACACTGTTAGTACTGTTGAAGAATAACAAAGCTTTTCAGCTCTGTTTGGAATGGTTGTTGAAAGTGTTGCTTTCGCAACTGAGAGCAGGATTCGGCATTTTCCAGATGGAAGAGTGCATGCAATCTCTGGGCTGTCGCTCAAGTTGACATTAGCACTTAGGTTCTTCTTTGGTAGCCCTCTGTTGGAAGCTAGGCCTGAGATCAGCCTGTTTGGCTTTCATAGAGTTGGAGAAATCAGACCTGTCAATTCTGATGAATGACTGAAGCTACTTTTTGTTCTGAATTTGACTCACAGACCGTCTGCTTTCGTGAATGCTTGGTAGTGGAAAATACCACCTGTGCTTCCCTATGGCAGGTGGTGATTACTGGAATTTGTGATCGGCTTTTTAAAATGGGGGTAAAAAAATCTCAGTCTCTGTTACTGAAATACATGTACAGGCCTGGCTATTTCACCCCAGAAAAGAAAGAACACCAGAATAAGTTAGACACTGTCTCCCTCTGGTTTCTCAGGAGAGTGAATTTAGATATTGGGGGTTGCGGTATCTGTGCTAAATTTGGTTCCAGTCATTGTTAATAAGGAGATTTTAACATCTCTCTTTCCTCTTAATTTTCTGACTCCTGATAAATAAGGAGCAAATCTTTATTCAGGGGATTCTATCTTCCTAGCTACTGTCAAAACCCCTTCTCTTGGTAAATATTTTTTTTCTCTTCAGTGTTCTTTTTATCTAGCAGCAGTTTTAGGCACTTTGTAGAGCAGCAGAAGCAGCTACTCACAGAAATATCCCTGATTAGACAGACAAGTGAAACATATTTTTCTGCTTGGATGATAAAAGAAAAAAGTAATTTTGAAGTTACTGTAACTAATTCATTTGAATTTTAATGTTTTTTTTTTCTCAAGTATTCTGTATAGACAGAGGTTAAAAGTTTGTTGTTTACTATAATGCTGTCAAGGAATTAGAAAATAATGCATTTATGTCTTCCTCTTTGGCTCATTTTTCTTTTGATAGAATGCTGAGCTAATCTGGGAAGCTGTGACACTTACCTTCAGACTGAAGACCCATGACCGGGTAGAAATGCATTAGTACTTGGAGTATTTAACAGAAAATATAAGTTCTAGGAGGGTTAAATCACCTGGCAGACTTCAAACACTGAGCAAGTTTCAGTTTGAGTTGGGTATTGTGGTAGCCATTTAATTTACTGTGAAGGATTATGCACAGTGAATTTCTTAGAAAAACCAGTTAATTTGTATTGAGGTTTTAAACAATGATCTGTTCTATTTTCATCTTCTGTTGAGGTAAAAAAATTACTATTCAAGTATTTTTAAGCACTACTTTTCAACTTGCAGGTGGATACAGGCACACAGATGGCAGATAACAGGTATGTTGGCTGTTTTCCTGAAATTAAATCAAGGTGGGTAGAGCCAACTGTATATCTGGTGTTCTGCAGGAGAGGTTTTTGTTTGTATTTTTTAACCTGTGAAGAGTGGATTACCAGACTTGAATAAAAATAAAATGGTAATATTTTTCTAAATGCTCTGAAGAGCTGAAGAGCCTTAGTGTTTCTCTGATCTGTGTGATTTAAGCATGCAAAAGGCACCTTTTTTTTTCCTAGTTAATGTAGTATTTTTTGAGCATACAGTATTTCTATGGAACTGCTGCAAGTCGATATGTGCTGCTGCTCTTCTGAGGCTTGCAGTACTGGATAAGCTGGTCTGTCCATACCTGATAATACCCAGACACGTACGTGATATCTCTTCTGGTATTGTGTGTGAGTTAGGGTTAATTTCAGCAATATCTGGTGTGCGTTTTGTGACCTCTAAACTGTCAGGGAGCACAGGGAATACTGGCTGGCTGTTGACTCAAGCTGGGCCCTCTCCTCCAGCACAGGAAGTGAGATGGAAGACATTGCAGCTGGGAGATGGGGAGGCCAGGGACATCCCTTTTAGAATAGGAGTGAATGTTTTTATCAAAACTGTTTGTTAGAGAAGTTGGAAACAGAGCTTTTATCTCTTGTTCATCTTCCTTTCGTACCTGCATCCTTTCTCATGTTCTTTATCACTTACACTGAAAGTGTCTCGTATTTTCATTTGTGTAATAACATTTTCTTGTGCAAAGTGAATGGCCACATGATTCACAGACTGAATCCTACACATGAATGGCCAGCCGTTCACTTAATGAGATGAATTTATCTGTCAAAGGTTTTTGTTTTGCCTTTGCATCCCTTTCATTTTAGATCTAGTTTCATATCCAAACTTTGGAGTTTTCACAAGCTTGAAGACATAAATGTCTTTTATTGGCATACTTGTCTATAAAACTTGTCTGTAGTAAACCAAAAATACAGAATAACTTGTTCTTGAATGCTGACTTTTATGTAATGTGATACTATTTTTATGTGTTACCCTTTGAATTCTTTTAGTAAAACAGAAGATACTGCTTCAGAGTCTCTGGAGGCTGCTAAAAATGCAACCAACAAAAAAGGTGAGAAATACATAGTAGTAGGTGATGTTACAGAAGTGGAATAAGCCTGTATAGCCAAAACTGAAGATGTGTTCACATTTGAAAGCAAAGCAATAGGTTTTAGGCTAACTGTTCACTTTCTGATGTTTTCCATGTGTATTGCAGCCAAAACCAGGGTGAAGGCTGTATTTTTGTATGTGTTGTGACTGTTATGCTTTACTATTGCCTGAAATGACCCACTAGACCCTTGCAATAAGGCCTGCGAAGACTGGCTTGTAACAATGTGTATTCTTTGTCAGCATAATTATCAAAATGAGCAGTGCTGTTTATATGCTAGTTCTTTACTGTCTTGCTTCTCAAAAAGTGCATCTTTAGAATGTGTCTTGGAAATTTTTATTCTCCATTAGCCAGGTCTGCAGATAACTGCTGACTGGTGTTTTTCAAATTAATACTTTCTCTGTGTAGAAAAGCTACAGTTCCATTGTTTCTTCAAATACTCAAATTTGTAAGTTATAGTGAAAGATGTTTCATGTATGTGGTCACTGAATGTTCTTTAGATCTCCCTTATTACATTTTTTTTAAGAAATCCTTTGTGACTGGCAGTTGCAAATCACATGAGAACCAGTAGACACCACTGAATAATTCTTAAAGTCAAGTTGGATTGAGAAAGAATAACAAAATCCCAAATAAATAAGAAAAACAAAGCAACACACAAACACAAGCATATGAAAGCTTCACCATTTTAGTGTGTGCTGTGCAATTTGTTGAGTTTTTAATGTCTGGGGAAAGGAGCACTGAGAAACAAATGCAAAGATGTGAAAAGCAAAAGTCTTCATACTGTGACACCATGCGTGGTTATTGTAAGGGTTTTTAACACCTAACCAGAAGCATTTTAGATCTGACCTCCTGTAAAAGTAGTGTTCTGGGAAGTATTGTGATGGTTGAAGAATCTTACAGATTATAAAATCGTCTTGAGGTAAAAAAATTAGTAGTTGTTGAAGTCACAGTGCCATGCTGCTTATTGTACAGTGCAGAAAGTTGGAAGGGTTTTTTTCAGCAGTCACACTAACTGGAAAAAAATGTATTGGAAGTATAATTCCAATGGTTCTCCTCATGCAAATTTGTGTGGCTTTTAAGGTACAGCTAATACAGAAGGAAGATAGAGAAACTTCCTGTTTTGTACTTCCTTACGTAAAGGGAAAACAGGAAATTTGCCTGTGTTGTCAATGTACTTGTTTATGAAAGCAACTGATAGCTTTGCAAAAAGAAAAGTGCTTTTTCTATCATTCTCCAACTTTATATTACTGAAATCTGGGCCTGAAGTAATTGTTTGTGTTAGTAGTAAAATACTATTTTCACACCTCAAACAAAATTGGTGTTATTTGAGGGTGAAAACAGTGAGTATTTTTACTGTTCTAAGACACAGGATAATAAAAGCACTATAAATCTATGCAAATTTGTTTAAAAGAGGTTTTCTGTCTTCATAGAAAAGCTGGCAGACCAAGTGATGCAAAATCCACAGGTCCTGGCAGCTCTTCAGGAACGTCTTGACAACACATCAATCACTCCTTCAAGTTACATTGAAAAGTAAGTACTGGGCATGATAAAATTCTTGAAAGATTGAAAGCATAATAGAGTATATTATTACTGTGTAATTAAGGTAGAAAATTAGATTAAATGATTCACTAAGAAGAATGGTTTACTTAACCTGTGATTCATAGTGTCTTACTTCTGGAAGGAAGAGTGAAGTTTTACTTTATGCAAACAGTTTTGTCCCATTCAGTATTTATTGTGGCCATTTATTGTTTTGGATAGAGATATATATTATATAATATAATATATATTATATATGTAAAATATATAATTATATATATTTATATAATATATAAATAGATATATATATGTATATAATATATATATTTTATTTCCTTCTGTGACCCTTTCTCTGACAGGGTATGTGCTGCATTGGATAATGATTTCTGAAAGATTTCTGCTGTCCTGGACGTATTGGAAAGTTCAGGACCTGCATATCCCTAGTTTGAAGCTTAATTTTATATTGACTGTAAAACAGATTTGAATGCTGCCTTTAGTAAATATTTACCCTTTTATTTCTTGACTGAGAATAGCTGGGTGCAGACCTCGTTTTAGAAAACACCCAAGTTCTATAAAGAGATCTTTTTTACATGTCTATATCTAAATGTTTAATAATTTTAAGTGCAGATGGGCAATGTGTGCTTTATGAGTATGACCCATGCATCAAAGCTTTCTCCTGTAGAATGCACAGTTCTTATTTCTCTTAGATGGATCAACACAAATCTAGTCTCAAAGTTTAGGTGTAAACAAAAGTATTAATTTCAGATCTCTGAACTACACTGGGAGGGTAGTGGCCCCAGGGAATGGAACAGAAGATAACACCTTTGAGAACAACTTGGGTAGGAGAGGATTCTTTCAACTTTTTGAAATAGGTTTTGGAGAAACATGTATGTAAGCCTTTTATTTAAAAATTGCACATAGTTATTAGCGAACTATTTCTCAGTAATATGTGAAATAATGCTGAGGCAAATAACTTTTAACCTTAAGTAATTTTGTTTTTTAGTTTTCCAAAAGCAGTGATAAGAAGAATTGATGCCTTGAAAAAGCTCCAGGTGAAATGTGCCCATATAGAAGCTAAATTCTATGAAGAAGTACATGACTTGGAGAGAAAATATGCAGCACTCTATCAACCTCTTTTTGATAAGGTGGGAAAATCATGTATATAATTTATATTTCTTTGTTCTTGTCAATTCTGGTTGCATACATATAATTTTACATCTTCAATTACATTTTTTGGTTTTTTAATACAGAGAAGAGAGTTTATTAATGGGGAAGCTGAACCCACAGATGCAGAGGCAGAATGGCACAGTGAAAACGAGGATGAAGAAAAACTGGCTGTGAGTATAAACTGGGTCATCTACTGTGGATATATCAGATTATCAGAGTTAAATTATTGTCCTTGCCATCGAAAGGACTTTTGTGTCAGTGATGTGTTCTTGTGATGAATACACTGTTATGTCCAGTGAAAGCTTCTCCACCATTAATATAGCTTTTTTTCAAATGTGTGACCTGTGGGAATAGAAGAGTTGCCTTGGTTGGCACTGTTCGTAACCTGTTAACAGCACCTTCCTGCTAATGGGTTCCATTCCAGTGCTACATGAAACCCTAAGATAATAAAAGACTGGTTGGTTCTCTGCCCGTCTCCATTATTTTGGGGGACATAATTAGCTTTGATTTTCATAAATACAAGTGAGACATTTGTCACATAGTAGTAAAGCAGAATTGAGCTAACAAAATGTCTGCTTGGCTGGTGGATTCCTACTTGTCTATTGAGTAGGAGCTGTCTAGATTTAGGAGGCATAATATAGTCTGTGGGCTGCCTTTTACTTTCCCAGCATCGTTTCTGGAGGTGTGTGCTCAGGCTTTGTCTCAGAAAAGTGACCTACCTAGAAAGCTCTGTTTGCCATTCTGTCAGGTTTTCTTTGCATTTTTTCCTTAGCCTGATTTCTTCTAGGTTTTTTTTGGAATGCTGTTCTGTATTCAAAGTGAATTGTTCTCTTGTTTTTTACTGATCTCCTGAGATTTGGCATGACACAATGCTCCATGTGCATGAGCCAAAAACATTGCTTTGTCTCTGTGTAAATACAGGCATATTCCACACAATAAAATCAGAAACTTGTCTAGATGGGAAATAAATTGTAGTTTTGTATTCTTGACTTGTCATAGCCTAAGCTAATGCTAAAAGTATCTTAAATATCTACTGCTATCTAGTGGTGTAAACGGAAAGGTGCAGCTAGTGAAGACTGAATTTCCAGAGTTGTTTAGGATTGAGAAATGACTTCCTCATTCTTCTTTTTTATAACATTTGACATCAGTTATGTGGAGGGCATCCTGTTTCCTAAAATAGTAATAACTGGATGCAGCATAATAATGAAAAATACCTGTAAAAGACAACTTTGCAAGTATTCTGCAAAATGGGGAAGCTAAAGCAGCATTTCAGAGGGCAAAGTTAAATTTTAAATTCTTAGATGAAACGCTGTAGGTGGCTTATGGACCTACAGAAATGAAATTAATAGAAAAATAGAAATGCATTTATATTTCTTGATAGAAAGTGTTTTAATTATTTCTGTCTGTCAAATCAGTGAAGCAGACACTTGGTGTATTTAGTCTTCATGTAGAGTTTCAAATGAGTTGAGAGTAACTCTGAATTGTGTATGTGTTCAGTTGTTTAAATAAACCTTGTATCTCAACTTCATTTGCAGAGGAAAAAAAAGTAGATTTCAAATATTCCTTAAACACAGCTTCAGAGATGACAATTATTTTGTACTTCTGTCTCTGTTTATTAAATATACTTTGAAGTCACAATTTAATTTCTCAGCTGTTTCTGTATTTCTTTCCTAGGGAGACCTGAAAAATGCAGTGGTAATAGATGAAAAAGCAGAAGAGACAAATGTCAAAGGAATTCCAGACTTCTGGTTTACTATCTTTAGGAATGTAGATATGCTAAGTGAATTAGTACAAGTAAGTTTCTACTCTGAAATGTGCAACCTCTGTTGTGTTAAATGAATTACTGCTTTTCCCATTAATAGTCAATCCTTGTGGAGTATGAGTCAATCCTTTGATGTGAGACAACAAATCTTTTGAGTCTTTGGAATCCCTTAGGATGCTTGAAATGATGGACAAGCATTTTAGTTTAATCCATAAAGGATTATTTTTGCCAGGTTATAAGAATACCTGTGGATTGGCTGAATTCTTGTTAAATAGCTTAGGTAGTTATGCCTGCACTTGTATTAACTGCTTTTAATGCTGTTAAAGAAGAATTCCCTGGCGTGTCTTCTGTGAATCTCACTGGTAATAAATACCCTGAAAGAAGTTACTGTGTCTTCAGTAATACATCTTAGCAGCTTTGTTTACTGAAGACAAGCCCTAAAATGACTGAGAATTTGCAAGTATGATTAAGAAATTTAGATCCAGATGTTACTTTAGCTGAAATTGTTGAATTAGTTACAAGGTTTGATTTTTTTTTTTTTTTTTTAAGGAGAGACTGTTTTTCAAATATTGCTGAATTGGATTTTACTTTTTTTCTGTTTAGGAATATGATGAACCTATCTTGAAACATCTGCAGGATATTAAAGTTAAATTTTCTGAACCAGGACAGCCTATGGTGAGTTTTCTCTGCTTGTTTCTCATGAAGATAGTAGTTATGAAGTGATCAGCATTCTGAAATATTCGTTCAGTTCTCTTTGGCTGTAGAGTGTGTGTGGAGGTTTCTTAGAAGCTACATATATTATTGTATTATATATAATATTTCTATATTATTTTCATGCTTTGCCTATGAAAGATTTATCTTTAGCTTTCCTGACTCTTTGCTCTTTCATTCTAAGCCTGCACAATATTACTGTAGTATCTAGATTAAAATTCTGGATGAATTCTGTCCAGTTTTTGCTTTCTTTTTCTCTCTCAAATTCAAGTGTAGCTGCTCTTAGTCTTACAACTACATGGCTGCTTTTGATTTGAAAATGAATTGTAGGTGAAATTCTGGGTTTCGAGTATTTTATCGAAAGAGACGTGACTCAGTAATACTAATCAAAGACAATGATTATACATATTGTGCCTGTTGAAAAGAATAGAAAATATATTGGATAGTATTTTAAAAGTGTGCCTCGTGAGTATATTTTAAAGTACTACTTCCTTTTTTTATTTTTGGAGATTTTCTCGTTTAAGTTTGATTTACAAAAACAGATGCTGTGTTTATTGAAAAGTTGTTCTGCTGCTTATTCAATTTATGCAGACTATTTATTCCTTGAACTCCCTTTGAAGGAGAGGTAGGGAGAAGGATGGAATTTGATACTATACATACATACTTTAAATGTTGTCATTGTGGCTTTTTTCTTATATTTGGTATTTTTTGTTTTCCCTTATCGAGCAATGGTCTTCTGATAATTCCCGAAATAAATGCAAGACAAGTAACATAGAAGATTCACATAAGATGGAAGGACTTTCTCAGAATAGCTTTTAATGGTTAATAGCAAGTTGGTTTTGGGTTCTTTTGAGTTTTGGTTTTTATTCCTTATTGTCTTTATTCTGCTAGTACTGAAGCACTCCAGCTGATATTAGGCAAGAAAGTAGTATGGCAGAGAAAAAGGTTTCTAAACATTGCTGGGGCTTAGGGGAGAGAATAAGAGTTTTATGAAGGAATATGGATATGAATTGTCTAAGCACAAAGTAAGGTATTCTAAGAAGTTGTCTGTTTAACTTGAAGCATATCTATTCAGTGGCATTTGGATGAAAGGGAATAGGTTTTTTTTTGCCTACGTAATTTTTGTGTTCTCATTCAGCTTTGTTTTATAAACACTAGATTTTTCTGGTCTTGCACTGTTTGTAACCTTTTCACAGCATTTTTCTGTAAATAGGTTCCATTCCAGCGCTACATTAAATCCATAAAGGCTGACAAACTCCGTGTCCCTTCTGTATTTGGAGACAAAGGATATGCTCCTAACTGCTTGAGTGAAACCTGTTCTGCAGCTGTGTGTGACTGTCTTATCTGCTATTCTTTGTTGAAAATTGGTGCAGCAGTGGTAGCTTTGTACTGTGTGAACTTCACAAAACCAGTGTGTCATAGATACACTAGTTCTGTTGGAGATTAGGTTTTGCTGCTGAAGGAATACATGATAATTAGGAATTTTTTGATTTACTGTTGACCCAAAACAATTAATCGTAGTTACGGCACTCCGAAAGTGGATATACCTGATTGCAGTCAAAGTGCTTCAAAGTCTTGTTTGTTATGGCCTGCACGTAGAAACTTCTATCTGCATGAAGTATAAGTGACTCCATTACTATTTGCTTTTATTTATTTATAACCATGTGGATAAATAAATATTATTTATATGTACAGGTACTTTATAATTTCTAGTTACATATTTATTTTGACATCAGGATCCTTAGCTAGCATATTCAGATCTCAGTGATCCATCTAGATAAAACTTAAGTAGCTTAAAAAAGGCAGGTTTTTTGGGGGGCTTCATGAGAACATATTTGATAAAAAACCCCAGAGAAGTCCAAATAAAGAGTGTTGGAAAGGTTATTGCAACACTTCAAATACTATGTGGAGCTTGAAGCTTCTTGTCTGCTAATTAGCAGGTATACAATGAAATGCTGTATGCAGATATTTTTATCTTGCTAGCCCTTGGGATCCTGCATGCTGAGTAGTGCCACTGGTTGGTTATTTATAGCCCCAGAGATGGTTTATGGGATTATTTGGATATGAGTATTCGTCACTGGTAGTGGATAAGTTTGTAACTCTTCCCCTGAGCATGTTTGCCAGAGAAAGAGATTAGCCTTAGCTGAAGACAGCCTCCAAACCATGCAGCTGTCTTGAGTTGCTTGAAAGGGAAGTGAAGCTGAGCTAGGCAATATGAAGTGAACACAGATATTCCAGTGAACTGCTGTGTCCCAGTGGCTTCCTGTCCTTAAACAGAGGGCATGGGGGTGGGAGGGCCGCTGTTGCCATTGATCTCCATCACTCCTTGACCACTCTCTTTAGTAGGTGTGAGTCATGTGAGGAGACTCATGGGGTCATAGGAAGATTAGGGGCCTTTGGGAGATGAGTGAGGGATAAATACCTGTGATGAACAGGCTGTTGTCCCAAGTTGCTTATCTTGTCTGTGCATGAATAGCCTTGAAAAAGAGGATGGCAAGGCAAACTTGGTGATAACAGACATTTTTCTGGCCTGAGTCTGAAGAATTCCTGGGGAAATATAATCAGGGTTGGTCTTTTGGCAGTTTGCAGATTACATAATCTGTTTTGTATGCAGATTAGGGCTGATTAATAAGGCATATTAGTGGGAGAGGAAGTAAAATTTTTAGGTAACTGTTACACATGCTGGGGCTGTGTGGTGGTGTTGTAAGCTTTGGCTTTCCCTCCTTCTTTTGTGCTGAACTGACCTGCAGACTTTTCCCCCTTCAAGCCACTAAATCAGTGTCACCAAAAACCTTTTTCCTTTATTGTTTCCCCTGTTCCAAGACAGCTTGAGTTGTGGCGTACTTAAAAAGCTCATGGTTGATCCTGAGTGCAGAGTGAGCATATTGTGCAAGCAGTTTAGAAACGTTTACACATCTGGAAATTGATGCATCATGGATGCTGTGTTTTTCTCTAACTGGAACCTTTTGATCTCCGTATAAGAAACGGAATCTCTGCAAACAGTTTTTGGGTGCCAGAGGAGGTTCAGACATAACCAGAAACACCTGCTTCGGGCTGTAAGCTGTGGAGACATGTTGGTTGTACAACAGTTTATGAAGTCAATGTTCTTTTGCAGGATTTTCTATTATCAAATAGAAAAAAACCCTCTGGTTCCTGGGGGAGTGTGCTATTTAAATAGACTCCTGCAGTCTAATTTGTGCTTTAATTGGAAATAAAGTCTGATTCTCTTAAGATCATGATATTGATCAGACTTGGGGGAGCAACAGAACCACGTGGTGGTGTTCTAATGTTAAAATGACTTCGTAATAACAACTTCATCCCTAGTGCAAGGATGATGAGAGGCTTCCATAGAAAATGAAATGAAGACCTTCCTCAAAATACTTATTTCTAAGATTGCTTTTAAGACAGCAGTTCTATATGTTAAGGTGAATGAAATGTACTAATTACCTGTTTATAATTTGAATCTAAGCCAAGGTTGTTACAGCTTTTTGTACATTTGAAATTCGTTGACATTCATAATTTCCTGCATCTGCTGTAGTTAGAAATATGTTTACCATCAAATTATTTTTTTAATTATTATTTTGAGAGTTTGATTGGTGATAATTATGCTGATGCACTGTTTCATAGATGAAAATTAGTGGTAACATAAAATTTCTTCCAGTCTTTCTCATTAGAGTTCCACTTTGGGCCCAATGACTACTTTTCTAATTCAGTCCTGACAAAAACATACAAGATGAAGTCGGAGCCAGACAAGACAGATCCCTTTTCATTTGAAGGACCTGAAATAGTTGATTGTGAGGGGTAAGGAAAACTGAAATTCAAAAAAGCTTCTGAAGCAAAAACACTTTTTTTATTTGCTTACTGTGATAATGTTTAGTAAAGATAAAATTGTTACTGACTTCAAAACTGGGAGTGTTTGTAGGGATGTTGATGGTGTTAGTCTCAGCATGCAGAAGTAATGGGTGCATAGATGGAGATATATTTTAACAATGTGTACATTTTAAATTGAACACCTTTTGAATTTAATAGTTCTCTAATTGAGGTAACAAACCTTTTATTTCCAGATAACTGGGTAAATTATTTTTAGTCATTACTTTTCACAGACTACCCCCCTCCTCAGTCTGACAAGTAGCCTTGGACTCTCTTGGATTCTTGTCATCTCCTCAGCAATTTCTGTTCCAGCAAGAATTGGTTTATTATTATCAGGCACGAATAGGTCATGTGTATCATGTTCTTTCAGCCTGTTTGGAGGGAACATAAAGGCCATGCAGTTTGATCCCAGCAGCTGTGGCTAATGCAGCAATTTTTAAAAATTTCATTGTTTTTGCAAAATCTGTTCAGAAAACAGCTGTGGATGGTGAATTCTCATGTCTGTTCTGGAAGTCTGAGTTGAGCACTACAGAGTTTTTTGGGGGTAAAAGAATGATTCCATCTAACCTAACCTTTGGTCTTCCCATCCATGATCTGTGCTCTTTAACCAAATTCAATTGCCACACCACAGCAGAGCTGACACAAATGGAAAATTACTTTTGTACCCTATTTTTCTGAGCATCTAAGTATTCTTTTCTATTGTTGATTATTTGGTTTTCAGGGTTTTTTCCTACCCCTTCAAGGACATGTTGTGGTGGTTTGGTTTTCGGGGTTTTTCTAACTGACACTTAAGATATGCCAAATACTTGGTTTTTTTGAAGTCATGCTGACAACCTCAAAACCTCTTGACTTTCAGTGCTACATGTTGGCTTTTGAATCCAGAATTCACCTGCAGTGAGGCAAAATGTCTTCTTGGATGTTTAGTGGAAGTTGTGCTTAAGTAACAGACTGCTCCTTTTTGAAGAAAACTTAAGTTCATTACAGCAAATTATTTTTTGTTTAAATATTATAAAGGAATATAAAGTCCTAGATTGCTGATTTGTTAAAATTTTGATTTCAGTTGATGTTTCCTGAGGAAGGTGTTAGATACGGTACAAGTAGAGCAGGAAAACATGTCTGTGCCTTCTTATGCAAGTAAAGTATGAAAATGGTGACTTTGACCGTCTGTCTGTAGGACAAGGTATTTTTGAGGCACTTAAGGCTTACTGTGACACCGTTATTTCCATTATAGGAAAATTAGCTGTGTTTGTCCCTGTGCAGCTTTGGGTAAAACTTGTTTGAACGGAGAGAGACTTTTCATTGAGTGTCAATTTGTACAGCAGCAGAATGGAACTGATAATTAGACTCTTTTCAGCTTGATGTGCTTGACTGCCAAGTCAGTCTGAGTACTGGTCTTTGGAGAGTTCAAACATCCCTTTCCCTGGCCACTCTTTGGACATGCATTTTTAGAGTACTGCCTTGACCTGTAGTTAAAGGGCGTAATGTATTGTTTTCTAACAGTTTGACTGGTGAGATTTTTTTTCTGGAATAGCTTAATCCTGTCCTTGGTTATAGAAGCCCAGTTTTTGGGCCAGAGGAACTGAATTATGGGTGCAGTGGTGGCAGTGATTACTCTGCCAAGACAAACTTGTGTAGCATTTTCTTTTAGGGAAACATTTGACCTGTCCAACATACACATAATCTCTAGGACTATGATCCACTTCATATCTCATCAAGCAGCTTTATCTAAAGAGTGATAAGCTGTCTTGGCCTTGAGGTTGCTGCTCTGCTGCTCAGTTCCTTCTTTTCCCTGGTGCCTTGTGTTAAAATGCTGTTTTTCACATGCTGTCTCTAGGTGTACCATTGACTGGAAGAAAGGAAAAAATGTTACAGTTAAAACAATCAAGAAGAAACAGAAACACAAGGGCCGAGGCACAGTTCGGACAATTACTAAACAAGTACCTAACGATTCATTTTTTAACTTCTTCAGCCCAATAAAGGGTAAGCTTGGAAATTAAGATCCTTAAAATATGTTTATGTATATTTGTATTTATGTGACTTAAACATTCAAACTATTTATGCTGCTGCCTTGTAAAGTGCTTACTAGAGGAAGTTTCCAAATATCTTGCCCATCCAAACAGATGATTTTATTCTGATGTTACTCTGTAGAATCTGGCCAATAGGTGTGCAATGTAAACAGGATTCATAGTATGGGAACAGTCTCTTATAGACTCTGTTAAAGAAGTTGACATGTTTTACCACAGGATGGCTCCATGCATCAGTTTTTCTAACATGCAAAAGAAATGTGTTCCATTGTTGGTCAAGCTACAGCATAGCAGTTTCCCTGAAGCCTCTTTCAAGTGACAGAACTTTCTGTAGTTTCTTCTGTGATTAATTAGTGATCCCTGATGCTCTGTACATAATTGTCTCATTTTCCTAGTCTAATGTTACATGTGTACTCATATATTAAACCATTTAGATGGATTCCAAAACCATTATTTTTTTCTTGGTACATCTTTCATTGTCCTCTTCTGCAAGCACAGATGAGGGAAGTAGTATGTTTTGTGGACTGAAGGGGGTCCTACAAGAAAGGCAGTGAGGGATTTTTTGCAAGGGCATGTAGTGACAGGACAAGGGAATGCCTTTAGGCCTAAAGAGGGCAGGTTTAAAGTTAGATACTAGGAAGAAGTTCTTGACTGTGAAGTTGGTGACACACTGGAACAGTTTGGGGCATCCATAACTTCTCTGGGCATTCTTGGAAGTGTTCAAGGCCAGACTGGATGGGGTTTTTGGCAACCTGGTCTTGTGAAAGGCGTCCCTGCCCACAGCAGAGGGATTACAACAGTAGTCTTTAAGGTCCCTTCCAGCCCAAACTATTCTGTGATTCTAGAGCTGTACTGAACAAAATGGTTCTTGATTCTGTTGTGGGCTATTATGAACTACCTATCTTTCCTAATTACCACTGCAGATCCCCTTGTATGTAGGTTAAGAAACATGGAATGTGTATTTCCAAAGTTGGGGGTGCTTTAGTACAGAAATGTCCTTTAATTTTTCTTGCTGCTTTGAGCAAAGGATGGAGATTTGTTTCCTGTTGGTGTTATGTTGTTGTTTTTAATACTCAAAGGGTACACTTTGGAATTAGCTGTATAAGACACTGACATCTTCTGGCAGTGGATAGTTGCATTTTCAACTTGAGAATTGAGCCAAATGATCACTTTCACAGTAGATCACATGGTAGTCCGTTCCCAGAGAAGGGACATTTTGATTTTTGTTGGGATTTTTGGCATTGATTTGATATTTTTGTTTTTTGGGTTTTTCTTTAAACAAGCAAAACACCCACCCTGTTCCATGCTGGTTACAGTACTGGGCCTCTTCTCAACAATGCTTTGCAGATTCATGTCAAAATGTTCATTTATTTAGTTCCAGTTGTTTTGGGGGAGAGATGATTTGTAGTGCTCCAGCCAAATAAAGTTACTGTAATTACAGCATTAGTTGAGAAACCAAATATATTCATCCACATGTCCTCTGAACCCATTCTTGTAGAAAGAGTATTTCCTTGTGCAAAAATCTTTGATATCCAAATGGCAACTTTGATGCTTTAACTACAACAAGTGAAATTCTTCTAAGTATGATTTCTGTAGGTTTAACTTATCACTAATCTGAATTGTCATAGTTTTAATAGTTACCTTGTGAAGCCTTTATAACCTGTGTTTTCTGGTATGAGATCTTTATACTGTGTTTTGTCATCTTGAATACTGAGGTGGGTGAGACCATACAAACGTTTCTTAAATTTGTTGCCTTTTGTTTTTGCAGTATCTGGTGATGGAGAGTCATTGGTAAGTTTTTGAAATGGCACAATTGCTCTTTGCTGCATCCGTTTTGCCTAGTCACTGTACAGTGACTATAGGGTTATTTTATCAAGTATTGTGTATTTTTATTGTTGTTTTTGCATTTGACAAAGCTGGGTTTCACCTTGATAAAGTGAAAGATACTGTCAACTTCTCCACGTAATCCACTGGCAGTTAACTGTTACACAGCCTCCTCATCCAAGACGTCTCCAGTGGTCACTGTTGGGAAGGTCATTGTTCTCCCTGTCCACTCAGCAGTACTGCATGGCTGGTACCTGACTTCTTTAAAAATCAGTCTGGAGCATTCTGAACAGTTCTCCAATATCAGATGTCAGAGCCAGCCAAGTCTTTAAGAGCTTTTTAATAAATGGTGTCTTGGCAGGACACTAACTTGTGTGTAGAAAGTAGGAAGCTTGTACAGAAAATCTCAATTCTGCAAATCTAGATTTAGATTTTATTGTTACAAAATTAAGTATACTGACAGTACCTGTGACCTGAAGGTTGGTGATGACAATGTGATGTTTTCCCAAACCTGTTACTTTGAAATATTTTCATCTGCTTCTGTGTAGCACATCACATTTTCAGTACAGTACTCAATCTGATTTGTCTTACAGGATGAAGACTCGGAATTCACTTTAGCAGCAGATTTTGAAATTGGACACTTCTTCCGTGAAAGGATAGTCCCTCGTGCTGTGCTGTATTTCACTGGGGAAGCTATAGAGGATGATGATAACGTATGTATGCAATTAGCATTTTGTTTATTAGTCAGCACATAGAAACATTCGTCTCCTTTTCTGATTAGACTGGGGTGAAGTATTAATTACATGAGAATAACAAAAAACACCCCTGAAGAGATTGCTACTACTTTGGCATAGGAAAGGGTCATTCAACATGCTATAAGTTGTTAATCTGCTTCTGGAGGGGACTTAGTTTCACTTAGTGTTTGAATATGCTACACCTGCAGAAGTTTTTATGCAAATACTAGCAGAGCTAATTAAACCTTGGGTTTGTTTTTCAGTTTGAAGATGATGAAGAAGGTGAAGAGGAGGTGAGATGCACACTGTATTTTTTATAGATTACTGATAACTTATTCCATTCTAGTGCCAGGAATAATTCTATATGGAGCAGAAAACACTTGTTCATAAATGCTCTTGTGCGTGGTACTTCTTTCCAAAAGAGTTCAGCATTCATGACTTGCAAAACTGCCTGGTTTTTCTTTTCTTAAAAATATTTTCTGCAAGAGCATATATCCATTTTTTATCTAGTATTCTGAAAGCTGTTTTCTAACATGACTCAAAAATTAAAGGAAAGCATTTTTTTGTAGAATGCGGCATGATAAATATTTGTTCCTTAGGTGGTAGTGCAACTCAGCTGTCAGCTTTTAGTTGTCGTAAGCTTGAAGACTGAGTCTTACCAAATGCAAAGTAAAAAGAAGTATGCAACTATTCAGCATAAGTAATTTAGGCTGGCTCTGGTCTATTTGCAATAGTGTTGTATGAACACGTGCTATGAAACGCTTTGCACAAAACCATTAAATGTTACCATTACCACACTTAAATGAACTAATATCCTTTACATTTTTTGCTTTACTGCTTTTACTGTGCTGTTCTTGCTAATTTGTCAAAGGTACTGATCCCTGACTGTTGTCAGCTTCAGCACAGCAGAGTACATCAGAGGTTATCAAGCTGCTGATCTGATGTGAGCTGGCAGCCTTCAGCATGCAATCTCTTTTTTTGTCTGTGCTTAGGCTGTTGAGTGACTAAACACTTGTACATTTTTATTTTTTTAAGCTGGGCATTGATAGAAGTGTGTATGAGTATTTTTAATTGGTTTCCAGTGCCAGATGTTATCACTTAGATGTAGCTGTGTGTAAAATTGAGTACAAAAGCCCTACATAGGAATGCATAGCCAGTCCACAACAAGCTAAATAAACAGACTCTTTGGAGGGAGACTGAAACAAAGAACAAAATCAGGCATATATACCTATTACCAGAACTAAAATTCCAAATAATTTGTTAGGTAGAAGTTTAAAAATTGCTGTGGGACCGCAGCATCATACATAGGAAGATTGCCTTTAGCCATACTAAGACCTTTATATCATGTTTTAAAGATTTTGCATGTAAAACTTGGAAGATGCTGAATTCTTTTAAATCAGCCCAATACTGACATCTGAAACACTCTGGAATACAGTGATAATTTAATTTGCTACTTTGCTTTTTGTCCATTACAAAAAGTTGCACTTTTAACCTGTTTTAATTTCTGTTAGTTTATCTCTATTTTGTCATAGGAGTTGGAGGGGGAAGAGGAGGGAGAAGAGGAGGAAGATGCAGAGAGTGATCCCAAGGTAAGGACATTTGTGTGCTTAGTCGTAACACAGGTTAAAATCATGAACAGTGTAGCTAAGGGCATGATAGTTTGTGAAAAGATCAATCAAAAAATCACCCTAGCTTCTGACTGCAATGTTTTCATTATCTTCAGCACTTAAATTGCTCTTAAAAGAGAAGTTAATGTTTCCATCAGTTGGGAAAATGCAGGTTTTGACTTCCAGCATGCACTAAGATAATTTCCAAACTGTGTGCCTTTGCTTCTTAATGGCATCTCTGTGTAATGCTGATACAGTTTTCCTTTAGAAACGTCTCATTCAGATGTTCCTTGGCTGGACTTCAAGCTAGAATTAGTCTGACAAATCTCAGCTAGCTTGTTTGTTTATTTTCTTTTCCTTAGAATTGTTCTTTATCGTTGTCCTGATGGCTGCAGGTTAGACTCTACATGTCTGTACTTGATTAGAAATCAAGAAAAATCAGTCCTCAACTTTGAATTTTAAATATATGATACCTGGCTTATAATTCAGCCTTGAGGGTTAGTGTTCCTTCTGACAGGTATTTTTCAGTTCTTCAGTCATGGTAAATGCTTATATTTAGTGAAGCTGGGACAGTGATGACAGACTTGTGTTCGTGTAGTTCTTAAATCATCAGCTTTCAATTTTTTATAAAGACAGATAAAAAAGTGAAAGGCATGCAAAACTGCTTGATCTTTGGATAAAAGTCTTAACAGCAGCTTGACATGTCACTCTTTTGGTATAGTTTTATACATCATCCTATCATTAGTAAATGGTTTCTTGTCACTATCTAGAGTCAAGTTTGTTTTTCTTTAATGAGAAATTCTGTATACTAAAGAAAGTCTGTCTTGTACAAAGATCAATCCAACTGGGTTAGATTGGCAAAAATCAGTATTCTGACTCTGCTCTGTAGGATTCAGATGCAGTGGTGTACCTGTAATGGGAAAAAGTTGGACAGCTGAGATAGCTCTGCATCAACATATGTTTGTGTGAAGTATCCTTCTAGAGGATTTGGTAGGGAAAATAAAGCTGAGGTTATCATGGAAGGTTATGGTTGTTGCCTCCTGTATTATTTTGTACATTTCACTTTTCATCCATGCTGACAGTTCCTTTCAATTTTTTCCCATTTAGGTGTAATATAAGTCTGTTATTCATTCATACATTTCTAGGTAAGGTGGAATTCCATTCATACCTAACTTCCAAGAGTCCCATTTGTAGTCATGCAATGTGATTTGTTTTCTAAGGTTTTCTGTTTTGTTTTGTTGGTTTTTTTCCTTGTATAGGGAATGGTGACTTGTACTGGGGGAATGGTGACTTCAGAATTTAGGTTTTGTTAGTAAAAAATAGAAAGAAATGGGTGTAGAGATGAGTACCTGTAAATCATATAATTAAAGTAGATTTTTCAGAATGACACTCTGCCTTCCTGGCACGCTTTCTGCTTTGCCTTTGTAGCAACCAAACTGTATTTCATATACACACGATAAAAGATACTGAGACTTGACAGACTTTAATTTTCCTTGTTTCTGGTTTGATGTTGCATCTCCTTACTGTTTCTAATGCACTTGCAAATTATTTCTTAAATACCTTCTCTGCTCTTCCTAAACTCTTCTAAGTCATCAGCTTACTTAGTATGCGTTTTCCAGCATCTTACTTATGCTGCCTGACAAAGGCAAGCAGTCACTCTTAGAAGCCTTTTCTTGATCTCCTATGATTCTGCACAGGTATTGTTCTTCTGTTCATCTGTCTCTTTTTTAAAAGAAGAAAGAAAAAGTTCCTTCTGTTGTATACTGTCATCTTCACCTTTCATCCCATTCCTCACAGAGAGCAATGCCTGCAACAGCTTCCATACTTTCTTCCCCCCCCGTATTTTAGGCTCTTTATTTAAAATAAAATAATTATTTTAATTATTTAGAAGAAGATGTAATCCTTTCAGCTCATTCCATCTGCATAGATAATGCCCTTCCTTGCCTTTGTTAAACTCAAAGTGGAGCTGTGCTTCATTGTTGGTTTTTGGTGCCTCAGTATACATGCACTGACAGTTCACCTGCAGTAGTAGAACATCTGTTTGTCACAGTAGCTTGTCTGTTACCCTGCTGCAGTTTGTTACACAGCTGTGTTCCCTCCCTACAGTTAAAAATTATCAGCCACTGGCTTGTTTTTCAAGTCAACTTGGATTTTTTTGTTTTGTTTTGTATTTTGACACTAATACTCCAGTCCTGTCCTGTTTTTCATTCTTTCTCCTGCTTGTACTATTTTCTGATCCTCTTTTAACTGTTCCCTGCCTTTATTTGCCTTCCAGTCCCCACTCCCTGCTTTTCTTATCTAGAATAGTTTTCTTTTTCATGTACACAAGAATAAGTGGTCTGTTTTCCTTTCAAATCCAGTTTCTCCTTTTCCGTAATTTCCATATTACCTCCTTTATTGTTGTAGTACATTTGCTGCATGTCAACACTTTCTACTTTGTAAACTTTTTCTCCTTCCTTCCTGTGAGTTTTTAGTACATTTGAGTTGTTCACATACAACCAGAATCATTATCATCACACAAAGCACTTGTGCCATATAGAAGTTGTGGCTTTGGAAGACTGAGCAGTCAGATGATTGAAAGTAGCTTCAGAAGATGCTACAAAACTGGATAATGTAGCTGGTTTTGTCTAGTGTATATTTTTATGTGCTTGCATGTCCCATTCTTTAGCTGCCTTTATTTCACCTTGCTGAGGCTTTGCTTGAATTGAGAAGTAGCTGACAGGGAATGCAGAGTGCTGGTTTGAATCATGAGCAAAAGAGCTGCTCTGTGTGTGTGAGACTGCATGGGCTTCAAGATCCTTTTTCTTCTGAGTTCCAGTGGCAAGACCTTTCAGCAGGAAATTCATTTCTAGAACTGGCTGTGGAAGGAAGCATTGCTTACTTAACTCCAGCTAGCTCTGGGTTTACATTCTCATATCCTTGCTTTTTCTCATTCAGTAACATAGAATAGGAAATAAAGATAAGATTCAGCTTTAGGTCCTATAGTTGGACTGTTCCATTGAAGATGTTTCAGAAAGGCTTTCTACCTTCTCCACTGGAAAGGACATCAGATTTAGTGCCTGCTGCCTGCCTTGATACTGCTGTTGGCAGCAGAGTTCTTGGGGAATTAGATGAGATCTTGATAATCTGTCTGTTTCTGCATGGCCACCTTAGCAGATGGAAAGCTTCCCAAAAAGTGAATTGGAAAAGTAAGGAGATAATGACTTGATTGCTCTTGGAATCACCTAGGAATGTACCTTACCTAGTGTGTTTAAACACTGAAGACTAACAGAAATTCAATGTTTCCTTCAGGATCTTGTTGAAAAAACAAAATTGCTAAAATAAATGGCATGGAGATTTTGAGCTTATGTCCCAATCCTCTAGGACACCAGTTTAACTGGATGGGCAGACGTGGTGGGGTTTGTGTAGGAACATCATGAAACCAGTATTAACTCGGACCTACTTTATTGTCTGTTTTAGCTCTATGTTCTTGCAAATTTTAGGAGCAATTTTTAATTCTGAAAAAGTGATGCAATAAGGAGCAGCAGTAAGCAAAAAGCTGTATATTGCTCTTGGTTAACAAAAGAGAAAAAATAGGTGGGAGTCTCACTCAGCTTGGTCGTATCCATTGGAATGGCACCTCAAACTGAAATTAAAGGCCCAAAGTAGTTTAAACTCCTTGCTTAAAATAAATGAATATGAAATACTTTAAAGATACAAAAAAATTTAAATCCTACCAATTTTAAGATTAACTTAAATCTGCTTATGGTTACTGTAAAGAATCTGTTTACAACCAGAAAAATTATTGTCTCTGTAGCCCTGGTAGTGATCTTGAGTACATGTGTTTACTGCTAAATTTATTTTTAAATAATATGCAATTCCTCCTTATCTTTGTCAGTTCAAGTCTCTCTGGTCTTTATTGCCTGGCCAGTGCACTTCACTACCTTTCTAAGATATCGTGGGAAGTTAATTTAGGGAAATAAAGCATGAAGGGAAACCTTGCCAGGATGGGGTGATAAAGGGCACAGGGGCTAAGGCACATCAGTGGTAGTGGCTGGCTGACCCAGTGTCACCAAGTCTGGGCTCTGCTGGAAGAGCAGGCTCAGACTTTAAAGGCCAGCCTGAGGGAGTGTGGATGTCAGCTCTCCATCACACTCGCGGCTTGGGATCTGGACCCTGATCTTACAGGAGCCAGTAAAGGCCAGAGATGAGTTTCAGTGTGCATGTGCCTGCTGGAGCAGCTGTAACTGGAGGGGAATTGTGGTCTCTTTGTGCTGGTGTCCTCTGGGATTAGGCTGGCATGGGCTTTGCATGAGGCTGAGAGTAGCTGAAGGCAGCAGGGAGCTCACATGCTGGCTTCCTTAGCAAGGGCAGTGCTGTGTGTTAAAGTGGTTGGAGAACATGGATTACGTTGGGGTCTGGATCTAAAATACTGCCTTGATACTTAGGGCCTCCTTAAACATTTAGTATATATGGCCAACACGGATACACCCTCGAGTGTAACATAAAAATAGCAGTATTTGTCTCAAAATCTCCAACATCTGACTCAGATCTGGGAACCCCTCCAACTGTCTTTGTGGTTTTTTTGTCTGAGAGCAGTAATCAACACTGAAAGGTCCTTTAAAAAGAACTTTGTGATCTGTGACTCAGTTTTTACAGCATAAACAGATATATGCAGTAAATGTAATTTAAGTGTTTATAGAAATAAGGAAAAGATAATGAAGTTTATTAGAAAATATAACAAGTGTTTTGGTTGATCATTAAAATTTGGCAGAAATGGTTGCAGTGGTCAACTTAAGTGTGTCTTGATCTAAATATAACAGGTGACTAGGAAGGAAGGAAGAAGGGAGGGAGATGGAAAGATTTTTTAAAGTACACTTGAAATAGCAGGTTTGTTATTTTATCATGGCTTTTATCCAGAATGCAAAGAGGAGAGGAAGTGATGCTGCCTGCACACTACTCTGGCCGTATTCAAATACCAAGCAGTTAAAAGAAGAATACAAACCTTTAGGAAACTTTAGATAAAAACGCTACTAGTTTTTGCCTGCCCATGGCATGCAATGTACTACCAGTGGCAGTTAAATTTTAATTTAAGAGCAGAATGCTAATTTTGTATTCTGTGTAAACGTATCCCTTTTCCTGTATTTGGTCCCCAATCAGTGCAGTTTAATTCACGTAAGTGTTATTTGGAACTTCAGGCGGATGAGAGAGAACAAAGTTAACGTTATCCAGATGGGTTGGCTGAGGAATACCACAAGGAGGAAGTCTGAAAGGTCTCTGACACATCTGTGCATTTGACTCTAATCCTGAATTGCAGTGGGAATGATAGTGACCACTCTGACCATAAAGCAGTTTCAGTGAGGAACAGAACAGCCTGGATTTAGTGCAGATTATCAAGGGCAAAACTTCATGATAAGGCAGTTTAAATCAGTTGCACCTGTTGTTCCTTGCTAGAGGCAAAACCCTTCTGTTATTTTAGCTCTTGGTTACTTCATGTATACTGAACTTGGCGTGGGTACATATTTTATAACACGTAAAGCTCTTCTTTGGGATAGTAACTAAGAAACATTTTACTTTGCATCAGTGACATTCAGGGTGTTGTGTTTTATACCTGTATTTTTCTTTACTAGACTGCAGCAGGTTTCTGTGACTGCTGTTTGTGTAATAAAGTATATTAAGAATGGTAAGGGGAGAAGCAAAGTGGTAATTGACTGAATAAATTCTCCTGCTTTCTAAGAATTCTGTGTTACAATGGAAAAAAAAGCAAGAAGTGCAGTGTAAACCTGAAGTTCTTAGTGGTTTGAGTGCTTGTTCTCATTCCCAAATTCACTTCCTTTTGCCAAAGGGGAAGTTGTTTAACTACCTAATGAAGGTATTTCTGCTTTTACATATTCAGATTAACATACGGACTTCTTGCCCAGTGTTAAATTGTTGAATTGTTACCTGCTGGTGATGCAGAACCTAGAAGAAATCAACACATTAATTACATTTTTATCACCTTAGCAGAAAGGGCAAGGCTCCTAAGGAAAAACTCAGACGTGCTGCAGAATAAGCAGCCTGCCTTCCTCTCTCCTCAGAGCTGGAGGAGGTGGCAGTTTATTGTTAAAATTGTTTAATAGGCTGGAAGTCAAATAGAGCCTCTGGTTGAGGGGAGTAGGTGGTGGGTTGCTTTCTTATTTGTGTGAACTTTAGCCTACAGGGTGCAGTGTTAACAGCACAAAAATACATAAATTATGGGATACCAAGCAGCTGGGGGCAAGGGGAGACCAAATAAATGTGGTGACTCTGTTGGACCTTTACGATGTAGTTTGAGTTTTCATGTAACATTTTTGTACATGCTAGTGATACATGCTAATAGCACAGTGATACATGCTTATTCAGAACTGCATAGCCAGTTTCTCTGTTGAAGTGTTTTCTTTTATGCCAGTTTGACGTTTAACTGTTTATTTTCTCTTTTTCACTTTATGCAGAAAGAGTCCAGCCAACCTGCTGAATGCAAACAACAGTAATAAGGAAATACCACTTGGAAGTGATATTTGAACAACTTGTAACAAATAGTTGGATACCTGGCCTGCAGTTCAGGATATTCTATCGCTGCAGCACAATCTTATTAACAATGCTTAAAATTAATTTGTTTTAAAATGCATGATTTTCACTAACTTTATTGCTTAACATGTACAGTGGCAACTTCAATGCATTTGGGAAATATGAGGTTTAAATAAAGCACACTCTACAGCCTTTGGTACACTGTAACTAAGTATGTCAATAGGCCTCTAGAGCCTTCTGCCCTACGCATAGGGGAATAGTCCAGACTACCATGTGAGGATTATCCATTTTCTTGCTCAACATTGAAAATTGTGGAATAGCAATGTGCTAAGAAGCTAAAGTAAATGGATTACATGTATGGTAGCTGAAACAGATAGAGCAATATGACTTTTTTGCTAGTTCCCTCCCCCCTTTTTTAATGTTTCTCGCAACCTACAAATTGAACTAGTGCTTGAGCAGCTTTAAATGTCATATTTATTATCTCAGTACAACCAGTTGAGTTGAAGTAATTTTACTTCATTGAAGAGGGTGTCATATTTGAGACTTAGTTGTTCATCTTACTATTTATTTATTCATGTTTGTAAGTACTTTGACAGAATTAGTGCTTTTTAATAGTTTTTAATATACTTGAAAAATCTTCTTCCTCTTTTGCATACAATATGGGTACTTGTAAAACAGGTAATTCAAAGTGGTCTCAATGTAGTAGTCTAGACAGAAGAAACAAACTCTCATCAAAATGACAACTCTTCTGGATGAAGATCAAAATGCAAAGGCCAAACTGTTGCTGTTGGTGGAAGTGGGTTGCAGCCAAAGAACCAATTTCCAGTAGTCTTATTGCTTAGTGTCCAGCATGAAAGGACCTTTCACTTTGAACACAGAAATTTATCAAAATGAATCAGTTCAATAAATCTGATGTTTGGGTGTCTTACTTGCAACACTGAAATTATTCCATTCCACAATTTGTTTTCTTTAAAGTTCTGAAGTCTTCAAAACTACCTTTTGTTGTTGTGTGGCACTTCAGGTACACATTTCTAGTTTCAGCATCCATTACCAACCTCTGGCAGCAGTTGAATAGCAGCTGTATCAACACTGTGACCAGGCATGTAGAGTGCTCCAGCCTTACCTTACACATTTGTAACTTAATACGGTGTTTTCAATTTGTACAGAATAGATAGAATATTCTATTAAAGTTGTGAAACATGACTGGTGGTGCCTGTCTGGTCCCTAACGCTTCCTAGGAGAAATGAGCATCCTGTTCTGAATGGTGGAGTGTTAAACACAGCACCTTCCAGCTGTTTGGCCATACAAAACAGCTGCCTTTGCCAAAAGCCAAAACAGGAGCCCTTGTAAATGTAGCAGTGTACAGTTCTTTGATGTAAATCAGAACAAACTTGCTCAATTTGCAAGCAAACAGTCTGGAATCGTTTGTAGGAGATAGGGTTTTTAGGGAGGCAGCATCATTACAAGATTCCACATGATCCGTGCACTTTGGTTATGGACTGAATGAGGTGCTGGGGGCCAAACTGGGAATGTTGAGGTACTCCCACATCTGACCTCGCAGTCAGAAAATGTAACACCAATGCTCAGGTGCCATAGTGTTAAGGCAGGAATGAGGAAGGAAGGCAGGAAAAGGGATAGGTTCTGAGCTTTATTTTAAAAAATTAGATTTTGTAATCTCGTAGTCTGACTGCAGTGCACTCTGGCAGGCATGGAGAGCAGTGTGAAGGCATTTCTGACAAGGACAGGAATAGTGAATGGAGCTTGCCTGTGTACAGACTGGTTCGGCACACTGCCAGGCCCAGCAAATAGAGAAATTTGACCTGGTTTGTTTCTCTTTATACTGGAAGAAACTGAATAATAGTTCCCCATCCTCAAGCAGTACTTTCCTCTACATGGTTAAATGGGAGTGCTGCTACCTGGAGATAAACATCTGCAAATTAGCACACCAAAGTAATTTATGTGCATGAATCTTGAAAGGCTGACTTTAATTTTGAGAAAACGGGAAATTCCAGAACATGTGGAGCAAATGTGCCAGCATCTCGGGAGCCAAATGAGCTGGGTCAGTAATGAAGCTGCTTAGCAAGATGTTCATCCTAGGGAAAGCAATGGTAAAGCTGAGCTGGGATTCGTTCAAGCAGAGTTAATGCCGGTTGACACAGCCTAATAAAAAACAGATCTTGTCAAAACCCAGCCATGCTCTTTCCATTGCAGATCTCACTGATAATGGCAGAGATGAGCAGTTCTTAGACTTCTCTGTTTTCACTTGCAGACTTTGTCTACAGGAAACGAACTGGTACCTGTACATCTCATTCCTCTAAGTATGAAGAAGTGATGAGGTGGTGGTCAGAATGTCATAGCAGATAAATCCAGGCTGGATGGAGTGTGGGTGTGCAAAAACCCACAAGTTATTTTTTGAATGATTTTTTTTTTTTTTAAATATTGGTGTGTTTTGAAGACTGGGCCTTGAGAAAAATAAATTAATGCCCTATGTAAAAGCTAGTTGGAATTTTTTTTAAATTATGAGGTGATAGCAAAAAGTCTGTGTGCATCCATGCCTGATTGCCATCTCAGCTGCCTGATAAAAACCCTGGTTTAGTCCGTGGGAACACACTTTAGTTATACAGCCTTCATGTTGGTGTCTTCTCATTTGAGGGAGGAAAAGAACTCCAGTTCTGGTCCTGAAAGTTGAAGCAGCTGGAAGCACTCCAAGAGAAATTCATCTGGTGTGTCGCCTGCCCAGGATGCAGCGTGATTAACAGCCTCTCAGTACCTGGGTTGTCTAGGAAGAGAGCCTTGGAGGTACTGTCCTGCTCCCCTATCTGATACAGGAACAAATGGTGAGTGCTCTGCTGCCAGCTGAAACTGCCTGTGGTTTCTCAGGAGTGCAGCACAGCATCAGGCTACCTTCCTGGAAATTTGGTATTTGGGATAACAGCTTTCAGTTCAATTTCAGTATGTTCAGTTATTTGGGGTTTGCTATTTGGTTAGGATCTGTGGTACCTGGAAAAATTAAGACGGTCTCTGTGTGTTTCCACTCTCCTCATTAAACAAGCTTTTCCTGTTTTAAAATAAAGGAGACTCGTAGTAGATTCACGCTCAGTTAAATGCTGCCTTGCCGGCAGTTCCTCAAGCAAATGAGGTCTCTGTGGGAAGCCAGCTCAGCACAGCACAGTCCGGAGGAGCCCCACACTGCAGAGGGACACATAAGAAGAGGTCAGACTAGTTCAGCACGAGGAAATGGCTCACTCCCTGCGAGCTCAGCGATGCAGAGGTGAGTTCAAGATGTGAGACAGGGCCTGGCTGCCTGACATTGCATTGAGGTAGCACCGCCTTCTGAACTTGTGCTTGAAATGTACACCTTCTGAAGCATCCTTGCTCCAGCCCCGTTGGAAGCAATTCTAGCTCAGGAATCCTTTCCAGTTGAGCTGACAGGAAAGATAAACGGAGACTATTTAGAGGACATATTCTCATAGGACAAAGGGGCTTCAAACTGAGACAGCAGGTTTAGGTTAGATATTAGGAAGAAATTCTTTATTATGAGGGTGGTGTGGCACTGGCACAGGTTGCCCAGAGAAATTGTGGATGTCCTATACCTGGCAGTGTTCAAGACCAGATTGGATGGGGCTCTGAATAACCTGGTCTGGTAAAGGTGCCCCTGCTCATAGCAGAGGGGTCGGAACAAAATGATCTTTAAGGTCCTTTCCCGCCCAAACAATACTGAGTCTATGGCAAATGCCAATGTGTAAAAATGATGGAGTGCTGCATTCTTTATCCTCTGACTCTTCCCAAGGATAAACACCTGTATTATTCCCCAACTAAAATCCACAGGGAATTGATTTTATGTCAATATCTGTTCAGGACTCCTCCCCTGAAGCTGAAGTCCTCAGAGTTTTTACCCTTGCTGTCCACGTTTTCCACTATAAATAGATGTAGTTGCTCCTCTGTTGCAGAAGCTGTGACCTGTGCATGGAAAAACCTTCATCCTCCCTTTCCCAAATGGTTCATAGTCATCACACTAATAGCAGGAAGAAGTGTTTCTTTTTCCATTTGCTCATATTGATGTCCTAAATACCACCAGCCTCTCACAGGCCAGGGCCATGAATCCTAAACAATAGATCCCCTAAGTCGCTCTGGTTTGACAAGCATCCAAGAAAAAGAAAAGGGGGAAAAAAGTTTTAAAAAATCCAAGCCTGTGCACTGTTAATGAGGCATCATGTGAATGAAGACTGAGCAGTTTGTCAAGTGCCAGCTTTTGTTTCCAGACTGGCTTTCCTCTCTGCTGGTTCACCTAGCCATTACACAAGCGAAAACGCTGGCTCCACCCAGCAGCGCTCACCTCTTGCACAAGCTGCCTTACCCTCCAGATTTTACCGTGGGAATTTGGACACCGCGTGGGGATGCCAGAGCAGGTTAATTCAACCCAGTGAGCCTGTGCTGCACTTGCCAGCTCTGCTCCACACGGCCTCCTGGCTTCTGAGCCTCCATGCAAACAGTCCCCACTGCAAAAAAGATCCCTCCAGCAAAGTTTCCTTTCCCAAAAAAGCATCACCAGCAATGCTGTGGCCTCTTGCTGGCTCGCCCTCGCCTCCCTTCTTTCCCTAGCATCTGCAAGGTGGACATAACCCATACTAGACCCATCCCAGCTTGAGAAAAAGGGCTGAAGAGAAGGGAAACACTAGGGAAAGGAATTGGCTAATCATTCATCATGACCCAAAGGCTGGAACAAAAAAATAACCATTTGCCCCTGTTTGGGACAGCAACCTAACAGCATAGGATGGTTGGATCTATCATTGATGCAAGTTTTTGCACTGTGCAAATATTCCTTGTGTGCTGTTGAATTGGGTTTTTTTACAAAGTAAATTCACTCTAGCTTTTGAGTCCACCTTTTGGGGATAAGAACTCGCTTAGATGTTTATAGCTTTAATGTCTATTTGATAACTCTGTTAAGGTCACACTTAGGAGGTTGGTTTGTTTGTTTCTCCTTTTTTTGAATATTGTTTTTTTTACTTAACTCAATTATGTGGTGTTCCTTCTTCCTTTTCATGCTCCTAACTTAAAGCACATTCCAAACTCTGATTTGCCTGAACAGAAAGTGCATGAGAGAATGAAGGTTGGGTGAAAAATGAGCATTGGAGTTTTTACTAAAGCCAACTGCTGAAATCGGTGATGGGATATAACTTGTTAGGGGAGCTACAGCACTTGCTGTAGAGGTCATGCAGAGCTCCTGCACACGAGTGAATAGTTCAAGGCGTTTTGATGCAGAGGAAAAAAAATAAGATTTAACTGCTGCTGACATTCTCCTGAACTGTTTCATCTCTTACCGCTTAAAAAAATCAAGGAAAAACAAATTATGTACTTTCAATCTGAGATTTATATAGGCTGAATTGTTGCTTAGCCTATGAAAAGATCAAAAAGGACATCTTTGAAGACACATTGCCTACAAAGAACACCGGACTGTTATTACACCAAAAAAAAAAAAAAAAAAAGTTAATAAGCACAGTTCAGGTCAAAACGTAGGCAAGTGCGTGTGTGCAATAAAGTGTTTGCAAGGGCTGCTTGCTCAGGCGTTTCAAAGCCGGGCAGCACGAGGGAAAATCACGGAGCTGGCATCGGAGCAGCAGCACCGCAGCATTCCACGTGTTCCGCTCTGCACTCAGCAACTCAGTGCAGCTGCCTTGGCTGGAAACTCCTGCGGTCACAGGGATGGCCTGCCTGGTTTTGGGATCTCCTGGCCAAGGAGAAGAGGGGATGGATCCCTCTTTCCCTCTACCCCCAGCTTCATCTTATGCCTTCTGGGGAGCAGGTGTTTCAGTCCCTTTCCCCCAGTGAGGCTGAAGAAGCTGCAAATAAATACCCTGGGACTGAAGCCCTGGGAACTGATTGCTGCTATGGCTGGGGACAGCAAACGAGCAGCACTCTGAACATTCACCCCATCTCACAGTGTGAGGTCAGCACCGTCCTCAAGATCCAAGCAGGGGTGGGGATCACTCGTGTGGGTGCTCCTGGCCCTGGAAAAGAGCCATCCATGACTTTGAAGCATCCCTGGGAGATGGAGAGCAAAATGCAGAGCTGCAGCAGTCATGTGGCTCCAGCAAGCCCCTGGCACAGCCTGGCACAAGAAATGCAGCCCCCAGTCTTGTTCTCTGCCCCGCATCCCCCTGAGCATCCTTCCTCCGCGCCTGGCTTCATCTGCAGGCGCAGGG